CTATCACATGGCCAGATGGGGAAGGATGAGATGGGCAGGTTGAGGATAGCATCATTCCTAGAAGGCACTGGGCCCTTCCCCAAGGAGGAGACCCAGGGGAGAAGACACACCCTCTTTCTCCACCCAGCACAGATGCCCCCTCCTTAAACACATGCCACCAGATCTCCCAGGACCCAGGTGCTCAGGAAGCAGGGCCTTTGGCACTGCCCTCCTGTTGGATGTCTGGATGCAGAGACATAGAAGATGAGGTAAGTGGTGGGCCTCTATCCAATTCCTCTTCCTGCACACCCAGACCAAGACTGTCTGGGAACATCAGGCCCCTCCTTTGTTCCTGGTGCTGCTCTGGGCCTGGCACCAGAAGGAAGGTCACATGGCATTCAGCTGGAAAGCCAGCCAATGACCAAACCAGGCAGAGAGAAGTTGTGGAAGAGGAGGAAAGGGGATACAGGTTAAGTCCTGAGAGAAATCTTCCCCCAGCTTACAGCTCCACCTGCTACTTCCCCAACATCTGAGACAGCTGCCAAGCAGGGGGATATGACCCTGGTATGGGAACAGAGGCGAGGGTTGCTTGCTTTAGGCCCTGCATCTCTACTTCTCTGCTCACTCCAACTCCAGGCTGCTCCTGTCCAAGAAGCCGCTGACCCACCCACCACCAGGACCACAGGCTGCATTAGGGCCCAACACTAAAAGCTTCGAGACCCAGCTCAGAAAGAATGAGTGCTCATACTCTCCATGTAAGGGCCCACTCCCTCCATGGAGCCCCTCTCCATTGAACACTGCCCTCCCACCAGTCACCCCATCACCCCCACCTCCGATATGTCCCTCATCAGGTCCTACAGTCTCCACAAAGCGTGAGCCACTCATCCTGGCCTTCATTGTGAAGGGCACCCCTTCTGACCTAGGGCACAAGACTGAGGATGCAGGGCTGGAGACAAACAGCACCATGCGATCCTCCTTCCCTGATACACACCTTATTCATACACATCTTATTCAAGCTGAGTGACAACAGGCTGCTCAGCCAGCAGCTATAAGAGAGGGAAGCAGAGCGATGATTAAAAAGTACACAGGCAGGTGGGGGAGGTGAGTGAGGAGGGGGAAAGAGAGGAGATCTGTTGCCAGGCAATCAGGCCTCTCTCCAGGCCTGTTTGCATATACATGAGCATACCATATTTAGCACCAGGGTTGGGGTACCAACCCTCTGCATTCCCTCCATACCCTTTCCTCCTTCACTCTGGTCCCTCCACAGGCAGATCCAGGCCTCCCATCTCATGGGGCTCAGCCTGGCTTGCCTCCTGCTCAGCCAAGGTCCAGGGGCCTTTGGAGAGGGCAGGGCAGCTACTGCTGCCCACACTGGACAACCACACAGGGTGCACTCTGTCCCCAGCCCAGCCAGCCTCCCGGCCACTGCTAGAAACCCTGAGAAGGTGAATTTTAAGTGTGTGTGCATTCGGGGTGGAGGTAGACAAGGGAGCACAGGGACATGAAGCAGCCCCAGAGCTTACAGTGCTCAGAGAAGACCCCAAAGTTCTCATAAGGCACAGCACAGTCACTGAGGCAGTTGGTAAAAGTCCTTGGAAGCAGTCACTGGACAGAAACCCATTGCCCTGCCGAGCATCTGGTTTAGCTCAATAAATACCCAAAAGCAGAAGCATGAGCCTGATCACGTGCAGACGGGCAGAGGGGCCAAAACCCACCCCATGGCATGTGCTCTGTTGGCCTTATTCCTGTGCACATGATGTACAACACCCAACTGGCCTCTAGTCCCTGACCCATATCTGCACACGCATTGGAGCTTCCCTCCCTCATAGTTCCCTCAGGATGCACCCCTAGTGCATCCACAGGAGCTGCCATCAGGGCCACAGGGCAGCCCAGGACACCCAGAGGGTCCAGCAGCACGGTAGTGTCCACCCAAGCTATAAGGAAGGCTGTTTCTGTGAGGCCTTGGAGGTGTGACCTTGCCATGAGATGGGTCCAGGAAACTAAAATGACTCACCCAGTTGCCCTCCTGGAGTTGATTTGCATGCTAATGAGCATTTCTGAAGCAGGAGGTTGGGGGCTCAGTGCCCAAGGTGTCCTCAGAGCCAAGTTCAGTGAAGGGAGGAGAGAGAAGGAAGGGGAGTGGGGCTTGTGACAAAAATCAGCAAGGGATAGAATGACCTGGAATGTACCTTCAAGGCCACAAAGTCTGCGATCTTCATTTGCATGTGAAAAAAATGCAGATGAGAGGAGATGTGAAGGAGGAATGAAGGAAAAGAAAGACAAAGTAAAAAGGAAAAATGGGAAGATGAGGAAGGAGTGAGGGAAGGAGAAAAACCAACGTGAGGAGACAGGAAAGCATGGAACAGAGAAAACAGGCCCCTCACAAACAGAGGCCTACTCACTTCTAACCCACCCCACCGCCATCCTGCCTCATGCTTGGTCCTGTCTCCCTCCCCAAAAGCATCTTTGGCTGAACCAGCAGACCAAGCCCCTACTCCTGGCACACAAGCTAGAGACCAGGGTGAGGCACTGGGGCTGTCCTGCTCTCCCCTTGTTTAATGAACACATCTCTCTTTTTTTCTAATTAGCTGAAACAAATAACTTGAACCAGAATTTTCATCTTCCAGAAAAGCGTACGCCCAGACTCAGTAAATATGTCATTAATCATCATTCCCAGGCAGAGGCGCACCCTGGGTGCAGGAGGAGGGGAGACAGTTTGAGGATCTAGTTAGGAGCTGGGCTCCATGATCTCCTCCCACCAGCACCCAAACTGCCCTCCGCACCCCCACTGCCAAGGAGACATCAATTGGAAAGATTCCTGACAGAGTCAAACTTAGGCAAATGTTTTTTTCCTAAGCACTATGGAAAAGGAAAGGAAAGAAGGTGGGGAAAACAATACACCCTCCCTCCTAACTGCCCCCTCCTCCCTCACCCTACCCTGAGGTCTTATTTTCATCCAGGAAATTGTTCTTATTATCGCCTGGCTATTTATAGACTCAGTGAGGTCTGCTGAAGAGCCCACGCCAACACGTTCCTGTGGTGCAGACTGCAGCTCCTCACCAGCTCTCGGCTTCGGTTTGGACTAAACTACACACCACCCCCTCTTTGTGCTGGCCCCCAATTTAATGCCAGGACCAGCCAGGGACACAACCTTCATTGATCCCGAGAATTTTACCCCATTGGCTAATCAGCCCTACCGCTGACATGCTGGAACTGGCTAACATTCTCCTTGGCCCTACTCTGAGGATCTGTCTGCCTAGGACCAGAGCAGAACCCAGGAAAGAATTATATTGGACGCAGGTGATTGGGGCCTGAGCCTACTAGGCTCAGGCAGCTTTTGAGGGTGTGGGACAAAGTCTGTCCTGCTCTGTGATCCTCTGGAATTTCTTAGTCTGGCTTGCCTAAAGCAAAATATGCTGCTCTAGATAGAGGCTCGGTCCTGTTCTAGGGGTAGATGCCACATGTTTTGAACTGAGGGCCCAGAGCGTGGGGTTCTGGCTGTCTGTAAGTTGCTGCTAACCATTCATGTTACTTCAGAGGCTATAAGGTGGGGACCATCATAACTACGCTGAGTGTCTCAGAAGCTATAGGAGGGGTTCAGGTGCTCAGGGGACTCACCCATTCTTGAGTGCAAACTCCAGCTCTGCCCAGCAAGCGTCTAGCTTACTGTGAACCTGTTTGCTCTTCGGCTAAATGGAGATAATATTCCCCTCGCAGGGTCCTTGTGAGAACTAGAGACTACAATAAGAACCTTATTATTGGATGTGAGGTTTCTATGCATCAACTCCCTGGATCCAGTCAGGACAAACTAAGCCTGCATCAGACAACTCTGCCTGGAGAGAGCTTGGTCCCTTCCTGGGACCAGCAGTCTGAGTTCTGACATCTGTCATCATGTCCCTTCCACCCTGGACGCAGTCCTCCCTGTCCCAGTGCACATGCACCAGCCTGCACACACTGTCCTGGCCCGCCACTGAGCCCAGGGTGCAGGCACCAAACTGATGGAAGCTGGGAGAGAAGGCATAGCTGCCATCATGGGAAACTAGCCACAGAATGGCATCATGGTCCAGTCAGAGAAAGCCACAACCTTGGGAGACCAAAGGCCTTAAGACCCTGTGACTTATTCCAGCACCAACTTGAAGTGAGAGTTAGGTCAAATTCCTTAGCCTCTCTTTGTCTCAAACTGCTTCCTTACCTGTCAAATGGAAGATAAGGGCATGTGTCTGTCTGTGCCTGCTGGAGGCTCTGATGAAGACAGGATGTGAAATGATTTGGAAAGGTGAAAGGGTTTATGTAGGTAAAGTGAAAAAGGTCAGTCTGGGTTTTTTCTGCTGGCACTCCTACACCCTCCTGCCCTTACCCCACACCCCAAACGCCCTTCTCTACAGTCTGTGTCACTGCCTCAGGGGCTGCGGACGTCCACCTGCTGCAGACTCAAAGGCTTACCCAGACAGTAAGGCAGGATATAATAAAAAATTTAAATATATATATATATATATATATATATAGTTGCTGTCAAGTCATTCCTGACTCAAGACAACCTCACATGTGCCAGAGTAGAACTATGCTCTATAGGGTTTTCAAAGGCTGATGTTTCAGAAGTAGGTTGCCAGAATTTTCTTCCAAGGTGTCTCTGTGTGGATTTGAACCTCCAACTTTTCAGTTAGCACCTGAGAGCATTAACCACTTGCACCACCCAGGCACTCCAGAATACACCATCTGGGAGTTCATTTCTACAGAGAACCCAAAGCCTGGTTTCTGTTAGGCCCATCTGGCTTTTTATATGCTTTGCACAGGCTGATCTTCACACATGGTGGAAAACTCTCCTTTCTTTTCCTTCCATAGCCCAGTGCTCAGCCAGGTCAGGGAGACCAGGGTAACCCCCAGTTCTGCAAGTGGCTGACACCCCTGTGTCTCCTGAGCTGGCCCAGCCTCCTGCTCTCTCTTCTCCCCTCTGAGGCTGTCTGCCCCCAACCCACCCAGGCCAAGTGACATGGTACCTTCTCTCTCCTCATCACCCCCAGACCCTGCTGCGAGATGGCAAGCGTGAAAGCATTGTAAGCACCCTCTTCATCTCCCCCGGTGACGTGGAAAATGGACAGAGCATCGTGTGCCGTGCCACCAACAAAGCCATCCCTGGCGGCAAGGAGACTTCTGTCACCATCGATATTCAGCGTGAGTACTGACCCAGCATGGCCCATCCCAGCCAGGCCCAGGGTGGAACCTCTGGGCACACTGCAGTGCCAGGGGCTCAGGGAAGGGAAGAGGCCAGGCCTGGCCAGCCAGCTTACAGAGCCACACACCTGCTTCTTCACGTTCCCTCCCTGCAGGCCATCTGAGGGCAGGAAAGGGATCCAGTGGCTTTGTGGACTAGTCAGGCTTGTATTTATGAGTATTTGGAGGACCACCTTGTCCTTAATTGTCATGTGAAGGGAAAACATCATACATGATGGTACTTTACAAACTACTTGTTCAAGCCATATTCCCAAAATCAAAAAACAAACCGGTTGCCATCACGTCAATGCAAATTCATGGTGACCCCATGTGTGCAGAGGAGAACTGAGCTCAATAGGGCCTTCATAAGCCGATTACTAGGCCTTTCTTTCACGGCACCTCTGGGTGGGTCAAACCACCAACCTTTCAGTTATTAGTGGAGGGCTTAACTGTTTGTGCCACCCTCAGATAACCACATTCCCACACCTATTCAAGTGGAACTTCCACACTAATAAATATTATGATCAGTCCACCAGCCCTGCCAGCCCAGGTAGCCTTACACCTCTCTACCATAGAGAGAAAGCCCAAACAAAGATGCTGGGGTCTGGGGTCAGTAGCACTGCACCTGTGGAGGGTATATTGTGGCCCTTTCTCACAGAAGGGTTGGCACTGAGATAGAAGAAAGAGCAACTGTTCAGTCAGTTCATACTGTGTTCCACTTGACATGTAGAATCTCATTCACAGCAATCATAGGTAACACTATGATCCTTATTTGGAGAAACTGAGACACCAAAAGGTTTATTAACTTGCCCAGAGACACATAAGTTTCAAAAGTAGGCTGCCTAGACTTCCAGAGCCCATGTGGTTAACTTCTTCTCTTCTACAGCCACACAGGAAGCACTTAGCAAATGTCAGTGATTATGATTAATATTAACAATGGCAACGCTTTAAAGCTCCTAAAAGTCTCCCTAAAGGGGATTCAGTGCCTGTCAGCCCTGAGAATACAGAAGAGCTCAACACAGTCGACAGGGTGGTTCCAGTGGCCTCACACTCAGTACCAGATTAGTCTAGATTTGAAGGATCAGCACTCAGAAGCCTACTTTTCTTCTCTTAAATAACCCTCCCTGCCACAGAGTGTGTTGCCACCAGGTGCTGATGGCTGCTTCGGTTATAGGCTCTGAATTACAAGGCCAGAGCTATAAGCTGGCTTTAGTTTCCTCCTTATTGTCCTATTCATTTTAAATTAAATTCACTTTGAAACACCTCTTAATAGCCATGGCTCACCTAAGGTTCTACATGGCTTTCCAGGGTCTATGTAGCAGAGGATCCAAGTCCTAGGGTTCTGAGAGCCCATCTTGGGAACCAGAGATCTAAAGTCCCTACTCAATGTCTAGAATCCTAGCAGAAACAGATTAGATTCTAGAAGGCAGAAGAAACTGTGAGCCATGGAGAATTGTAACCACCAGATGAGCTCTAGACCCCCAGGCACAAGAGCTGAGTTATTGGGGAGGCCTTTATCTTCAATATCTTGCTACCAGATACTAACAATGCCCACCACTCCCCAGCCCCACCACCACCTCCACACCAAGCTAATACTCTTCTTCTATTCCTCATTTAAAAAGGAGGGCAAGACTAGGGTGATGTGATAGAGGTGCCTAGGGCATAAAATTTAAGGAGGCATTCATTCTCAGGGTTGTGCAAGTACAGGGTCAACCTTGAAGGTGAGAGCCTCCTTAAATTTTACACCCTAAGCTCCTCCCTCCCCTCACCCTAGTCTAGGTCCTGGTCTTGCACACTCAACTCTTTCTTCAGTAGTGACCACCTGTGGGATAGAGCAGTCTGGCCCAGCTACAGAGAGGAAGCATTATGCTGTGTCAGAGAGTCCAGAAAGGCTCCCCCACTGCTGAGCCTCCTTTACCCCCCGAGCCTCTGTCTGATTTGACCCAGTGATGGCCTAGGTCTTTCCTGTCCAGGATTAACCATGAATCAGGGTTCTCTCTCTCTCTCTCTCTCTCTCTCTCTCTCCAAACACAAGCCAAATCTGGAAGGAATGACAGTGGGGCACACAGGCCAGGCTGCCAGTCATCTCTACTTCAACAGCCCCTGTCCCTCTTTCCCCCACCAGTCCCCAGCCTGGTCCAGAGACCTCTGCCAGCTACAGAATCCCACACAAAAGTGACAACCTGAGTTGGCTCCCCCTAACAGCAACCTGAACCTTGGCAGGCAGAGAGCTGGGGCAATGTTTCTGCTCTAGGCTATAATCTATCACACCAGGAGGACCCACTTATCAACCAGGAGGTACTCATCACAACAACAGCCCACCAACTAGCAAAGACCTTCCTCTAAACACATGGTAATGAGATGATCAATTTAACAGTGCCCGTAGGTGACAGATTCGGCTAGGTCTCAAGGCCTTTTCTGGCTTTCTTTCCAAGGATATCTCAGCCACATCAGGAGGGAGGCATTGGGAATGAGCTCAGAACGAAGATTGGGACCCACATGCCTGTTCTCCTAGATGGGTCCCTAAGGCAGTCTAATGCAGTAGTCTTACCACTTCCTGGTTTAAATTCTGGCTCCACTTACTGAGTGACCTTGACCAGGTTATTTAACCTCTTGGTTCTTTGGTTTCCTCATCTATCAATGGAGTTCATAATGCCTCCTTTACCCAGATAAGGATTAAATTCGACAATGCGTGTCAAGCCCTTAGCACAGCACTTGACACATTGTGAACACTTTATGTGTCAGCTGTTACTATCTCTACTGTCCAGTCTTCCATGAATCCCACAAGGCCAAGGCTCAGAGGTGTGTAGCTGCCCCTCTACCAGTGTCCTCACAGTCCTAACAGGAGAGGCCTTTATCCATTTGTCCCAGACCTCCCTCTCCCCTAGCCTGGAGGTGTTTTTGTGTGACTGCCTAGCAGAAAGCCCACATCTCTCCGCCCCTTCCCTCCTTCTCGTTCCTCCTCCATTTATTCATTTGTTCATTCAGTAAGCATCCCACTGTTTACTGTGGACACCAGGGGCTGAATCAGAGCTGCCTCTACAAACCTGCTCATTTTCTCAGTCAACTAAGAAGCATCCCAACTCAGCAAAAGCACATTTGTTGTTTGTTTCCCTTGGTCTTTATATGTTACCCAATGGAAGACAAAGCCCCCAGATTGAGTAATGGGAGAGAAAGCTTAACACCCCCAAAGCCTCACCACATCTGGACTCTGTGTCCAGCTGCCAAGTTTGAAATGGATGTGCAATAAAATCACTGAGTCATGAAGTTTCTCTCTTTTCCTACCCCCTCCTCTATGTAATACTTCTCCCGAAAACACACACACATGCACGCACAGTTGCTGATGGAAACACTAACAGACTCTCAGCTGTAACATCTGTTCGATGTGATCTCAGTTCCACCAGCTACATCAAAGCTGCCCTCCTGCAAGTTATGCAGCCAACATCTCAAGTGGGATTAAAATCATGTTTAATAGTTGGATATGACATAAACTATTTATACCTCAGGAACCTAGCAGACTCTTGAAGATTCATGTCCTGTACATCCAGAAGAGACAGGGAGAGAGGGGGACGGAGGTGCCTCTGGTCTGGATGTGGAAGTGTGGGTGGACTGGTAAGTGGGAAAGCCTTCCTAGAGGTCATTCTCCTGAGACCCTCCAGGAAAGGCTGGCACCAGGGATATGGCAAAGAAGTGGAGAGGATGAAGAGGGCAGCATCCACAGGATGACCTGGGTTAACAGACATGCAATGGAAGAGGGAATTAGGCAGCAAGAAGGGTCTCCACAATGGTCCTATAAGTTTTTGTGAAGGATCAGAATCCCCAGGAGTATAGTACAACTGACAAGGGGCTAGCTTATGGTCACTGCTTGGTCACAGCCAGCTACCCACAGCAACTGAGTAGTTGATCCTGAGGGCCTGGGACCATGGTCACAGGGGACACCAAACTCAATTGGCATAAAATACTATACAAAACATTGTTCTACCTCCTACTTTCGTGAGTAGCAACTGGGATCTTAAAAGCTAGCAAGCTGCTATCTAGATGTAACGATGGGTCTCTCCTCGTCAAGAGCAAAGAAGAAAGCAGAAAAACAAAATTAATGGAAACAATCAGTCCCCATGACTAGTACACCATCCGATCTGCAACCTATACAAGTATGAGACCAGAAGAACTAGATGGTGCCCGGCTACCACTGTCATCCACTTGGAAGGGATGTAGGAGATCCTGGATAGAGAGGGAGAACAATGTGGAACAAAACTCAAAATCATTTGGAAGGGGAAAGAAATGACAGGGGGGATGGTTGGGACCAGGTTTGCTGGTCCAATAGAGCCTGGTGGAACCACTGAGACTATGGCCCCTAGCTACCCTTCAGGTCTGGAATTGAACCCACACCTGTGGTTTCCAGCCAAACAAAGTACAGGCATGTGAGTTGAACATTTACCTCAAGTAGACACACGCCCTCGAGAGAACAATCATGGGAGAAGGAAGGGCAGCTTATGCACAGGGAGACAGCTTAGGGGGCAGGAGAGTATGGAGGGATGGACACTGGGAAGTGGTACCATGGGGAGGAAGTTGGAGGGGAGCTGTTGCATTGTGGTAAACTGTGGTCAATGACATGAAACAAAGTATATGTGAACTGCTGTATCGAGAGTGAATTTGCTCTGTAAATCTTCACCCAAATCACAATTAAAAAAAAAAAAAGAAGAAGGGTCTCCAACAGGTGCCTTGTCCCTCACACTGCCCCCTAAAGTTTTTTGCTTTTTGTTTTGTTCTTTTTTTTTTTTTAAATGGGAAGATACTAATAGTTGTCTTAGACGGCTGTTCGCAAGGTTTGTTTTTTTTAAATACATTTTATTGAAATAAAATTTATGTATAATGAAATACACAAAACTAAAGTGACATGCCTCCTAAAATTTTGTCACTTTATAAAAGATACCTGGGTAAGGAGTGGGCCTTCTGGAACTGCCTCCCAAGACCTGTGGCCGATTTCTAGACTATTGAACTGGCATCATCACTTCCTCAAACAAGAGTTTGATTGAGGCACCCACATTCTCAATGTCAAGCTTTAGAATATGAGGACATTGGGTCCAAACAGCAGTGACCACATCCCTATGACTTAGGGCATGCTTCTGCAGCCCTCAAGGAGATGCGAGCTCCCTGGGTCCTCCCTGGGTCTCTGTGTTGTCTGGGGCTGTGTTCCATTGGAGCCCTAGAGCCCACCAGAGCAGGCAGGGACTCACCAGGCACACTTCCCTGGGAGCTGGTGGTCCTTACTGGGTGGTGATGGGCAGCAGCAGGGAGTGGGTGCCCAGCTCTGGAGAGCCACAGCTCTCCTGGGAGATGAGCTCTTGACACACTCATCTTTGTGATCTTTGAGTTATGCTTCAAAACCTGAGACTGAGATCATCTATGTACTTATCACTTCCTTGTAATTTTCCATGAGAAGGCAAGCAAAACATCTGCTCCAGCAGCAGAGCTTTCAGGATCTGTGGTCCCCACCCAGAACTGGGGGATAATGTAGGGAAAACAGGCTCCCACACAGTTTGCCACCTGCTGCTCAGGAAACGTGTTCTCTTCCCCTGTTTCTTCACAAGCTGCCTGCACTGTCTGTGAGCATCTCCCAGGCTCCAAACCCCAAGCCTTAGTACTTGGCAATGAGGCAGGGCCCAGCTAGCAGCAGCAGGGCAAAGGAAGCCAAATGGTCCAGTAACACCAACTCTGAGGAGGAATCGACTCAGTCCACAGCTGGGGTTGTGTGTCTGACCCTCAGAGAGTCTCAGGACTCTAGCTATAGTCTCCACCAGGAGCAAGGCATAGCAGGCTGGGGTTTACCCTCTCTGTTGGTGCCCTTCACGGGGACCCAGTGGACCCCTCTAAGAGAAGCTGGCTTTTCTCCTTTTTCTGAAAATGGGCTGAGTCCCACCAAGTCTTCATGACCTTCCAGCAGTTTTGCTCTGCTCATTAGTGGGAACTGGTCCAGAAGACTGGCCAAGGCCCTGGCTAGGTTATGGGGAGCCAGCTACCCTCTTCGCTGAGCCAAGAGCTGAGCTCCAGCTCAATCTCCAGGGCACAATAAGGAAGAATGAAGACTGGCCCATCCTCCCCTGGAGCTTCCAGGAATGCTGAGGCCAAGAGCAGGGATGCAACCACCTTTGGAGAGAGTAAGAGCTCTCTGCCCTCCAGCCCAGGAAGGCCAGGCCAACACAGGTGCTTCTCTGGTCTAATCCTCCGCCTCCCCCAATTACCCTGCCACTCTTGCTTTTCAGCTCTCTCCATCTGTTTCCGTCTCTCTCTCTTAATGTCTGTTTATTTGGTCTTTCTCTCTAACACCTGTCATTTTCTGTCTCTGTCTGCTTTGTCTCCCTTAGTCTTTTTTTTTTTTCTTTTTATCTGAAATCTTTGTCCGATTATGTGTCTCTGTGTATATATCAGTCTCTCTCCATCTCTCTCCATCTGTCTGTCTGCTCTTTGCTTCTCTCTGTTCTCTGTCACTCATTCTTACTCTTCCGGTGCATAGCTCACTCTCTGTGTATCTCTCTCATGTTTCTTTCTCTACCTCTTCACTCTGTTTTTCTGTTTCTCTCCTCTCCCTCTCTCTTCTCTCCCTCTCTCTCCTTTCTGTCTTCCTCTGTGGTCTCCATGTCTCTCTTTTCTATCTATCTCTCTGCCTACCTCCTATCTCTCTCTCTATCCATACCTCTGTTTCTTCCTCTGTTTCTCTGTCCCCTGCGTCTCTCCCTCTCTCTGACTTTCTACCTCCCCACCTCCCATCATTTAGCACCTCAGAACTTGGCTTCCTATCATGACAAATAAGGAAAAGAAGCCCAGCCTGGAGAGCTCAGGGCCATGGGCACCAGTCAGAACTCAGCACAAATGAGGAGCTGATGAAAAGGTGTAAATGCCACTTTCAAGTTAACAGATGCATCAAACGCTTACACAGTGAAAGATTAAACCGATACGTCCAAGACAGAAAATCTGTGTGTAAATGGAGCTTAGTGTCCACCTTCCCCTTAGTGACCCTGCCCCCTCATCCCCAAATCTCTTTTGTGAAATTTTTGTTCCAGCTAAAAGCTGGGAGATGTGCAGTGTGCTCCTGGGGCCAGGGAGCCACAGCTTCCAGTGGGGGCCTTGAATCAACAGAGGGAGACTTGGTCCCACCAACAGGACCAACCATCAATACAGGCACCTCCTGGGTGTGGAGGGCCCTTATGCTAAGGCCTCAAAGTTTCTAGGGGCCACTGAAGCAGTAGCTGCTCCAAAGGTCCCCAGGTTAGTCTCTGGCCTTTATACTCTATGTCACCCAAAGAGTGTCTTCCTGCCTCATTCCTTTCTGAATGGTGAACAGAGCTCCCTTAGTCAGCAAGTAAACCCTTTGTCTCTGCAGACCCCCCACTTGTCAACCTATCTGTGGAGCCACAGCCAGTGCTAGAAGACAATGTCGTCACATTCCACTGCTCAGCAAAGGCCAACCCAGCTGTCACCCAGTACAGGTAAGAGCCCTGTGAAAGAAGCACAGGATGATTGATCACTGGACCACGTCTCCCTACACCCTCTCCACACCACGCCCGTCACCTGGGAGGTCACTTAGGGTCTTCTGCATCAAGCACACTGTTAGGTTTATGATGGGTTTATATCTGGCCTTTACCCAATAGCTGCTTCCCTTCTCGCCATTCCCATACAGCCCCTGGCCAGATAAGTATCCCTTCCCTCCCACCCACTTTCTCCCAACTAACTCCTGGCCCAGTGAGGACTCCTTCCCTCCTGCCATCCTTCTCCCACCCATCCCCTGACCAGGTAAGGATACCTTCCTCCCTACCCACATTTACCCATTCACATCCTTTCCTTCATACCTGCATATACCTAACTTCCACTGTAGTGAGTAGTACCCTTTCCATTTGCATATGTTCTTTATTCCCAGTTTTTGAGAAGAGAGAGAGAAAGGCATAGAAAGAAAATTAGGAGAACCAGTAATATCAGAACCTGGACTCCAAACTGTCCGCTGGATGGAGTAGAATGTCGAGAAGAGCCAGCCCTGTTCAGAGGCACCAGGGACCATCCTTACTTACCCAGGGCCCTGTGCAGCCCTCTCCCACACACCAATAAAAGTGTTCCTGTTTTCATATGCAGTCTCTCCCTTTGGATAGAGCTTCTAGGCAAGAACTGTAATTTAGTTGCCACAGTTCTCAGCATGTAGTGCAGTGTATAGCATGTATCAGGTACTCGATCAAAGCAGGTTGAGTGATTGAATAAACACACAGAGCTGCTTCTCTGGGCCCATTCCTGCCTGTGCACCATCATTACAATGATTTCAGACCTAAGCAACCTCAGGGGTTCTCAAGAGCAGACTCAAGGACACTCATCCACTTTCGACTCAAGACACTTGCCCTTTTTAGAGTCAGGACACATACCTCCTATAGACCCAAGACATTCACATCCTTTACCTCAGGGAGTCTCAAGGACAGATTCAAGATACTCACCTCCTTTAGACTCAAAAGACACTCACCTCCTTTAGAATCAAGATGTTCACTTCCTTTAGACCCAAGACACTCACATCCTTTACCTCAGGATGCTCACTTTTTCTAAACAAGACACTCACCTCCTTTAGACTCAGGACACTTGCCTCATTTAGATCTGTATAACTAGCCTTGGCTCTACTAGCCCCTTCCTTCCTCCTGGCCAGGCTTGATGGTAGAGCCCAAAGTGTCCTTTCTTCAATAAAGGCAGGTTATTAATTTGCAGCAGCAGCAAGTGTTAGAGATGCTAATGATTCTAGACTTTAAGGAATAAGCCAGCTATGGGGAGTAGAGAGCAGGGAGGACAAGAGGCAGTGCAGCCCTAGAGAGCAGGATGAGAGGAAATGGGCCAGAGAGGCAGCCAGAGATGTAAAGTGGACATAAGGAGGCACTTCCAGCAGTGCAGATAATTAAGCCACCCAAGAGCCAGAACCCAGGAAGGTGTAGAGTCTTCATCCCTGAGGTGATTTTAAAATAGGATGAAAACCCATCTGTCCCTCTTGTTTAATTGCCCATTGGCCTGGAGGCAGAGGAAAGAATTAGGTGACCTTGGAAGACCTTCTGAGCATGGGTGCCCTTAAGCTGTGTAGCTCAATCAGGTCCAGAAGAGTGAGTCTGGTCCAGCCAGGATCTAGTGTCTGTCTGAAAGTGACTAGAGATGCAGAAAGAAACCCCCAAAGAGACTCTGGGCTCCAACTCTGCACCTTCAAGCCTTGGTCCCCTCTGTACAAATTACACTTCTTTCTTCTGCCTACTCCCAGCTCTCTGCTCACTGGCCCCAAACACCAGGCACAACATGCCCAGAAAATACCTCTAGTGGCAGTTTCCCAGGGCAGCCCTCCGTACCCAAAGACCACCTTCTCTCAGTCATGCTCACAGTTGTGCCAAGAAGACCCCAGAGACCACAGCACACAACTTCCAACTTCCATTTCTCTCCCACTCTTCCCCTCCTTCACTTCAAGGCTCCCCATCTTCTAAGGACCTCATTACTGGAGGGCTGTACACAGTAGGGCAGTGCACCTAACACTGTCGCCTACAGGCCTTAACCCCACACCCTATACCTGCCTTCTGACAGAGGCAGCTTGATCAAAAATCCTTGAAACCAGGTTGCTGGGCCTGACTCCCAAAGTCACCAACCTCACAAAAGCAGGACACTAAGAATGAGAATAATGAGGTATAAATCTGCTTATGGAGAGAGTCATAAAGCAAATATGGCAAAATGTTAATGATGGTGAATCTAGGTGAAGGGAATATGGAAGTTAATTTTATTATTCTTGCAACTCTTATTTAGTTTGATTTTTTTTTTTTTTTCCAAAATAAAAATTAATTACCACCAAGCACAGAACATGCAGACTCAAGGATTAGGTATCCTTGTAGGTTCCTTCCCCTGCCTTCTGCCTCCTACCTGGAGCTCACAGAGCCGAGGACAGCCCCTCGTTATAGAGGAGGAACAGGCCCAGCACATGTCCACTGTTTTTATTTGTCATCCTTCCTACTGCTTCTGTAAGATAAATACCACACGTGGGTGGTGTAAAAGAACAAAGAAGTATTTTCTCCTATTTCTGGAACCTAAAAGTCCACATCAGGATCTCAGTAGTGTCGATTACTTCCTGTTCCGTAGCCCTGGGCATTCCTTGGTTTCTGGGTGTTCATCACATGGTATCTGTTTCCCTCTGTGTGTGTGTGCCTCTGTGTCCATTTCACTCTTCTTATAACTCAGAAGTGATTAGGTTTAAAACCCACCCTATTTGGTTGATCTGATTAGCATTAGCATTACATAGAAACCCCTATTTCCAAGCAGAATCGCAACTACAAGTGTTAAGATTAGGATTCTGGCACATATTTTGGGGAGCACGCTTCAATCTGTAATATCCCTTCATGACCTTCTGCACTAGCCTTGGGCCCTGCAAAACTCTCCAGTATGGGGTCTGGCTTCTCCATAGGTTTTCTGGGAGCCCTTTTGTGGCCCTGGTGGGAAGTGGAGGAGACTGGCATGCCTCTCTTCAGTGAGACTTCACCAAGCAGCCCAGACTATCTTTCTACATGCAGGCATTGGGATCCAAGAGGAAAAGCCTTAAGCAAATCTGTCACATAAGTACATTGATTTTTTCCAAACTGACATTGACAAGATTACAGGGATTTCTGTTTCTTTACTCGCATTTGCTGTGATTGCTTCCTCCCCATTCCACACAAGAGGCTGTCCTCTCTGAAGTTAGAGATGTGCCCTCCTCTGGCCCAGCTCCCAAAGACTGGAACGTGGACAGGCAGGAGGATCAAATCGAGCTGCACGCAGCAGTCGCTTCTGCTGCCCCCTAGTGGCCAGGAGCTGGTGCTGCTCCCCTCCTGCTTCTCTGCAGTTTCTGTGCCCCCAGCAGATGACAGATAGGGGGCCACTCCCCAAGATGAAACTGGGGCTACAGACGGCACCCTGGGAGCTGTGCCATGCGAGGCCTCTAGATTCTGTGATGTAAATAATTAATCCTCTTACATTTTCTCAGACCAAATTAGGCATTGATTGGAAAAGGCTGCTTTTTCAGATGGACTGGCTAGGAGAGCTGGCAAAACAGCAGAAGAGGGAAGGGGAAAGTGGGTGGTGGGAGGATGAAGGGCAAAGAGGAAAAAGAAGGGGTAGGTAGGAAGCTAAGTCAAAGAACAGAAAGAAGAGATGCAGGCGTAGGATGGCTCTCTTCAGCCCTCATCTGCATGTTTGGATGTTATGGTTTGAGCCTCTGGACTCCTGAATGACAGGGATAAAGGGTTTTCTTGCTGTGGGAGGGGATGAAAGGTTGTGTCTGAGCTGAGGGCTGGAGAAGAGATGCAAGCAGGAGACTCTCGAGAACCCAAAGATGCTTCCCCAAAAGGCTTGGTCCTGGGTACCCCAAAGACCAGGGCTCCATCCTAGACCTGGGGAAGGACAACCAAAGACTTCCCCTGCTCCACTTCCTCCTCTGACTGTCACTGCCCACCATCTCTAACAGAGAAGGTGATGTGGAAAAGCTAAGGGCAACGGCTGTCCAGAGGGCTAGAGTCAAAAATCTCTTCACAGCAGTTCCCACCTCTGTCTCTTCCTTCCTTGGTTCCTGTGAGGGGAGAGGCCAGCCTGATGGCTAAGAAGTGTGAGCTCTGTGGGCCTAGAGCACTTGGTTCCCAGAACTGCTGGGAGCCAGGGCTTTTCCTGAGTTCCTCAGGGCCAAGCTACAGGTGTTTCCATTCTCCTTGACTTACCCTATGGAGCCCAAACACAGAGGGGATAAACCTCCACCTCCTACTGGCATCCACCCCATCCCCCTTAGAACCAGGTGACCTGGACCCAGGTAGGCAGTCAGGAGCAAAGGCCTGGGAAAACCTCCAAGTTGAGGCAGCACACTGCCTGACCCAGCCAGGTCCATGCCACCTGACCCTTTCCCTGCAGCAGGGTGGAGGCAGTGAAGGTGGGACACAGATACAACCTGTGGCTAGAACTGAATTTGACAGCCTCAGGCAGAGGCTGTGCCTGACTATTAATTAAGTCTGGTCATTAAAGTTAGAAATTGAAATGATTCATGAATAACTTATAGTGGTTTGTTGAGAAGCTCCTTAAGCTCTCAGAGAGCTATGGTTTGCTCTGTTGTTATAGTATAACTGTTATTATTAATTGTGTTCTTAATAATGACCCAATATTAATTCGTGATACTAACGGCATGGTGCCAACTTAGGTGCTCCATGGGATGCACAGAAATGGCCTTCTCATGGGGGAAAGCAGCCTCTGCAGTGTGGGGAGTTAGCGAAGGGGAGGCAAGGCAGCCAGGGCAGGGATGCTGTGGTTATAGGGGGCAGCCATTGTCGGGTAGCACTGTGGAGGCCCAGGAAACTCTCCAGCTCTGGTAAAGACAACTCCAAACAGACTTGAGCTATAGCAGAGAAGCCTGGTTAGATCTCAGAAATGTGATTTTTTTAAAAAAACAGTGAGTGTTGTCCACACTAGGATTAAACTAGGAGAAGCTGCAAAATCTCTCTCCTTATGGAACTATAAAGAAAGCCCCCATCCTCACACACACACACCCATTCACAACACACACTGATACACTCATGCACATATACACCCTCCCTCACACACTCACCCTCACACACTCATGCACACTCACACATGAACACACTCACCCTCACACACACACATACCCTCACACATTCATCCTCTCATACACCTTCACACACACCCTACCCAACACATATGCACACACATGTGCACACACTCACACACGACACATTCAGATACACCCTCACACACTCATCCTTTCATACACACTCATCCTCATCTGTGCACACATACTCACCCTCACATGCACCCACAGTCACACACTGACACAGATGTAAAACTCACACATACATACACTCACCCTCACATATGCACACGCATTTGTGCACATGTGCAAGCCCGGCGACACCCCACAGACAGCAGGCTGCATGCTTAGTTGTCCAATGCAGTGACCCCCACCCCAGGGCCAGGACTAAGACAAGTTCAAGGCTTGGCTGCCTCTCCCTCATTGCACTACTGACATGCTAATGGAAGGAGTCAGCACCGACTTCTCACTCAGCTTACCCCAACCCAGCCCAGAACCAAGGCAGGGCCACTGAGGCACAAAGCCACATTAGCAAATGGGCAGGACAAAGAACAAGTACCTACCACACCCCCCGGAGACAGGATGTTGGGAGGATTCTCAGAGAGAGGCCACATGAAAGGCCCATCCTAGGACAGGAGCTGAGACAGGAGAGCTGATAGGACTGGCCAAGGGAAAGGTAGGAGAAGGGAACTCCACATCTCCTACCACTTCTCGCCTTGTTTGGAAATATAGTTTCTGGAGCCCCATTTCTCTGTAAGTGTGTGACTGTCTGTGTGTGGTGGTGGCACACCATTAGAACTTGGCCTCTGAGGCCATGGACTTTGCCTCTTTTGCCAATATTGCTCAAGGCAGAGTCACAATAGAGCTCAGAGCCAGACAGCCAAACCCTCTGGTGACTGACAGTTGGATTACCCATCTACCTTGCCAGGAACTGACTAACTGAATAACCAACCCACTTCCCTCCAGAATAACTCACTATCAAATGACCCATGGACTGCCTGGTGACCAACTCACCAAAGCTCACTATGACTGCTTGGGTGGTGTTATGGATTTAATTGTGTCCTCAAACAGGTGTTGGAGCTCTGGTAGCATAGTGCCTAAGTCACTTACTGCTGACCAGAATGCTGGCGGTTCAAACCCACCAGCCACCGACCAGCCACTCCTCAGAAGGAAGGTTGGGCAATCTACTTCCATAGTGATATCACTTTGGAAACCTAAGGAGGGGTCGCTATGAGTTGGGTTTGACTTAACAGCACATAATAATAACAACAAATACTTGTGAATATCATCTCATTTGGGAAGAGGGTTTTCTTTATTAGGTAAATAAACCCATATCAATGTAGGATGGGTAGTAAGCCAATCACCTTTGAGATATAAACCAAGCTGATAAGGCACAGAGAAGGAAGCAGAGACCGGAGAGATAGATGCCATAGGAAGATCACCAAGGAACTGAGGAACAGAAGCTGAAAAGAGACAAGGACTTTCCTCCGGAGCCAACAGAGAGAAAGCCTTCCCCTGGAGCCAGTGCTCTGAAGTCAGACTTCTAGCCTCCTAAACTGTGAGGAAATGAATTTTTGTTTGTTAAAGTCACCCACTTGTGGTATGTCTATTACAGCAGCATTAGATAACCAAGGCCCACCCATTTCCTAGCCCCTGAAGTAACCCCTCTGTGGAGATTTCACCTCTGGGACTTCACCCAATGCCAGGCCTCCATGTTCCCATAGCATGGATGCTTCCAGCTCCCACACAGATGTTCCCTGGTAGGAACTCCAGGTGCCACACTAAGCCCACTGGGCCTCTGTTGCAGGTGGGCCAAACGGGGCCAAGTCATCAAGGAGGCATCTGGAGAGGTTTACCGGACCACTGCAGACTACACGTACTTCTCAGAGCCAGTCTCCTGCGAGGTCACCAACGCCCTGGGCAGCACCAACATCAGCCGCACTGTCGACGTCTATTGTGAGTGTAGCTATGTGGGAGGGTCTCTGCTTGAGGCCTGAGAGACTGCCACTGGATTCACTGCACACAGCTTAAAGATAAAGCTTCACAGCCACATAATGTTTTGCGCTTTACAGATAGCGTCCCTGTGTGGTGGTGTTTCAGGTTTATTTTGATCCTCACAACAACTCATTGAGGCAAGTATTATTATTCCAGGTATCTGGATGAGAAGATAGAAGTCTAGGGTCTCACAGCAAGTAGGGGACAGAATGAAAACTAAAAGCAGGCTTTGGACCCAATGCAATGGCCTGTTCACTCACTCTGACACCTACGATTAAAAAGACTCCTATGCCTTCCTCAGTCAAGGTTGGGCAGGGACTCACAATGCCAAGCCATGAGCAAGTCAGCCCATCCTGACTAACTGGATTTATTCACAAGAGTCTTTACTGTTTGAAAGGCCTTTTACAAACTTTTTTTATCTGACCTTCCCACACCCAACAGCTACAATAGAAGGCACTGTTACTCTTTTTGGCATCAAGTAACTGATCCTGCTCATCTGACCCCAGATTTCATGCTCTATCTGCTACCCCAGAGGACAGGAATATGCCTGTCCAAGCTTCTGCACCCTGACTGGTCTCAGGGCCTGAGGTTCTACCCCTGGGCTCACTATGGACCGAGGCTGAGTGTGCAGGAGGTTCCAGTTAATGCAAATGTTTGAGGGGAGGAGAGGACCCTCCGTTAATGCTCATTAGTACTTAGCAGTATAGAATATGGGGCCAATTTAGGGGAGGTGAAGGAGAGACTGGGAGCAAGCTAAGTTAGAGCAAAACCTGAGAATATGAGGTAGAGACACCATGGAGGTGGCATAAGGTCAAGGTCATGTTGCCTCATCTCCTTCATTGTTTACTTCAGCACCCTCCTCAGGGAGCTAGACCAGGCACACAGGATAACTTGAATCCCCCCTTGGGGAAAGGAGAAGGTGGCTGCAGAGGCAGGAGGCACCAAAAGAAGTGGGGATGGGGACTTCCACAACATTCTGAAGCCAGGTGGGACCAGGACAGAGGGGAGGAGGTGGGAAAGCCTGGGGTAAATCCAGGCAGAAATTGGGCCATGCACCTTCTTTCCCAGGGCCAGTGCTGCCCACTCATGTGGGCCTAAGGGAAGGCCCAGCTTGAAGAGAGAAAGCTCTTCCTTAATACCCAAGTCTTCCTCCAGACCCAGGCCCACCAGGCATAGGACCAAAATGTGAGGGGATAGGCTGGAAATAATGGAGTGGCACAAAGGCCCAGCTGCCACTCTTCCTCCAGCCAGAGTCGGGGAGGAGGAGGTGGGGAGCAAGGAGAGTCCCAGAGCTCCCCAACCCACCAAGGCCTATCTCCTTTTTTCTCCTGGCTGCAGTTGGGCCCAGGATGACCACTGAGCCTCAATCTCTGCTGGTGGACCTGGGCTCTGATGCTGTCTTCAACTGCGCTTGGACCGGCAACCCATCCCTGACCATCGTCTGGATGAAGCGGGGCTCCGGCGTGGTGAGTCACGGCTCCAACCTCTGCAGGAGTAGGGAAATTACCTTCCAGAGCCCTTTTCACTCTTAGATTGGGAATGTCATCCTCCATGGATTTGCTCCCCCAAAGAAAAAGAGGGAACCCCAAATACCCACATGTACCCCCTCAGCCTGGGGAGCAGGAGGCCATTCAGCCATTTCAGTTCTGACCTCACATAAGCCTTATAAGAAAAGCAGGTAGTAACCTGTACAGAGACATGGAAAGTCATCGGCAAGGCTTTTCAACTTTCCCCAAATAGTTAAGTTATCCTTTAGCTTGGGTGGTAAGCATTGCTATCTTTCTGTGTTATCCTTTTTAAATGTATGTATTGTCCAATGTGCATAAGAGTTTGCCAGTGAAAAGGCCAGTGAGAGCCTTGAGGTAGGGAAGGAAGGGGAGAAACAGAAGGAAACTGACTTTGCTGCATGCTACTATGTGCCAGACACAGCCCTATCCTTGAGGGATCATTGTTGCCATCAAACAGATAAGTAAACTGAAGGTCAGAGACAATAAATAAACTAACCACAGCTACAGTTATTCACAGGTGGAGCCAGTCTTCAAACTGATCTAGCTAAAGCCAAAGTCTGTTTCTTTTCACTACCTCAAGCAATATCCCAAAAGGATACTGAAAATGACTCAGAAAAGACAGTTCTAGGGATAATTTCACCCATGGACAGCCTGGGAGAGGAGAGGCCATCACAGATACAGTGAGGTCAGCATCCTCTCCCTACACTAGGAAACCTGGGCCCCTACCCAGAGAGATCCACCCTGACCCCTGCCCATGAAACCACGTTGTTGTTAGCTGTCAAGTTGGCCCCTAACTCCTGGAGATTCCATGCACAATGGAACAACACAGCCTGTGCCATCCCCATGATCCTTTGCAAATCCGATGTTGTGATCCATAGGGCTTTCATTGGCTAGTTTTCAGAAGTCAGTCACTAGGTCTTTCTTCCTAGTCCTCTTAGTCTAGAAGCTCTGCTAAAACCTGCTCAGCATCGTAGCAACACTCCAGCCTTCACTGACAGACAGGAGGTGGTGGAATAGAACTGGATCTCCCACATGGAAGTTGAGAATTGTATCACTAAACTACCAGTGTCCACCCCCTACTTTTGTGTCTGACCCTCCCTCATTTGTCCTAGGTCCTGAGCAATGAAAAAACCCTGACCCTCAAAACTGTGCGTCAGGAGGATGCTGGAAAGTATGTATGCCGAGCAGTGGTGCCCCGGGTCGGGGCCGGAGAACGAGAGGTGACCCTGACTGTCAATGGTGAGACCTCACTGGGACTAGGTTCAGGAGAAGGGAGAAGGGAAGAAGGGCCCATTCATCCTTGTACCCAGCACTGCCTTCAGGGGACCTCATTCGTTCTGCCCCTTGCTACTTCCCACCTCCCACTAGGGGTCAGTAGCAATGATTTCCACTTCTAATCCATGTTGGAGCCCAGGCCTGGGGCAGGATGGACCAGGATGTTTTTTCTGGTGTTTCCAGAATTTCCTGGTACTGGTGGTTTCCAGGTTATGAAGGAGAACAGTTCCTCACTGTGATTTTAAGCATTTGTAGGTGAGTCAGAACAGGCGCATAAGGTTTTTTATTTCACCTTACTTAAGTGCAAGAAAAGGCGGAAAACCTTTTCAATGATTTAAAAGCTTCATGTGCTATGAGTGAAGGTGATTATGATGAAGAATTTGTTGCAAGTAGGGGTTGATTCAATCATTTCAGAGTGAGGGAAAATTTACATAACATTAAAAGGCATGTGGGAATTGTCTGTAGTCTGATAGTCTGATATTCTTAAGCGGAGATGTCCTGTCTATCCCTTCTTCTTTGTTACCTTCTAGGAAATGTCCTGTCTATCCCTTCTTCTTTGTTACCTTCGAAGGAATCTCAGCCTTAAGAATCGTGGCTGAAGAATTTAATTCTGGACAGAGAAGAAAGGATCAGAGGCCCACTGAGTGGCCAACATAGAGCTCATACCCACCTCTCTGACCAACCCAAAGTGGCCTTGACACTGGTGGGAAATTTAAGAGGACATCTCCATGACTCCTGGCTGGCCACTTATTGCATTAGAGCCACTCACTCAACTGAGATCTGTGGCCTTCCCCATGAGACCAAAAGTAATAAGAATAATTACAGCAAGAACATGTTTTCATAGCTCTAAGACATAGTGGGGACTTAATGGATGCCTGTTAAGTGACACATGTAGGGGGAAAGAGTGTCAGAACAGACCTTGATAACAGAATTTGGAAGATTATGTCAAGCTGGGACCTGACAGACCCAAGACTCAGTCAGACCCAAGAACAGCTGGAACAGCACAAGGAAAAGTTCAGACGTCCCTGCCATGATACATACTTGGGCATGATCAGAACCAAAATTGCTCGTTTGAGGGGGTAAGAAATGGGAAGGTCACATCTCTCTGCCTTTTCCAAACATCCTAACTTGGATGAGTTTCTGATTTTAGGCCTCAACTTTGTCGCACCTATAGCTCTTTGGGAGTCCCCTTCTCCCACCATAGTTGACTCCAGATCGAAGCCCCAAGGCACTGAATCAACGTCAGGAGGGCTAGACAAATGTTTATAGGGCCTCTGGGTCCCGGCCCAAGACCAGGGACCTACAGAGGGGCTGAGCAAAAGTTCTAGAAATTAGCCCAATTCTGCTCCACTCAACCCAGGCAGCCACCCACTGACAACCTCATCTTCCCTCCCCCTTTGCTTAAATACCCAGCTTGGTGCCTCCTCAACTATCCCACTCCACTGTCCCAATTAGTCAGCCCCCTCCCCACAAGTCTTGGGTGCCCCAAAGGGAGCATACCTCCACCCAGACCCTAAAGTGCTCACAGGCCACCTTGGCAGAACCCTGAGCCATCTTGTCTTTCCTCTGTGTCCCCAGGAAGCCACCAATAAATTGGCACTACAGGGCTAAAAATAACAGCATCTGATCACGCCTCCGTTATATCCATGGCAACACAGGCAACAGCCTTTTCCTACCAGCGCCTGGTGTCTGACATGGCCATGAAGGGATCGGTGGAATCAGCAGACCCTCACGGCCTGGCTGGTGGCACTGGGGAGCCAGGGCTGCCTGTGACAGTGGCCAGCTCCAGTCCACTGCCCGTGACTAGTGGGCTGGGGCCCTCCTTCCACCTAAAACTGTTAAGTTAGCATCCTCCTTTCTAGGGAGTGGGTAGATAATGTCACTTTAGATGGTAGCATTTTCCCAACAAAGATTTAAAGTGGTTTCTTAAGGAGAGAACACCCCCTGGGGGAACCCATGCCTGGGAGGGACATTCCTCTTAGATGGGGCCCTGGAATCTACCCAGTGTTGAATCTGTGGTCATGGGCCAGTCTTTCCAAGCCATTGGTCTGCCTCCACTCCACTGTAGAACCTTCTCCCCATCACTTCCCAAGAATGAGGAATCCCCTGGGGATTTTCAGAAGTTCTAAAAGCCATCAGGCAAATGCTTATGTGTTTATGTTGTTGTTATGTGCAGCCTTCGGGTTAGCAGTCCAGTGCCTTAGCCACTATGCTACCAGAGCTCCTTATGTGTTTATAGGCCTCTTAAAAGAAAATAAAAATCAGAATAAAGGAAAATGATGTTGGGAAACCCGTTGGGTGCCAGGAAGTAGAACACTGAAGAGGTTGGAGTGAAAGTAGCGGCTCCTTTGTTTCCTCTGGACTAGGGTCACCTTGCCCCGAGGTAGGGGGATGGACTCAATGACTCAGGAAGAGAAGCCTGCGAGCTCCTTTCATGGAGTGGAACTGTCAGTTCTGATTCTGAAGGAGTGCTGGCCTCTGGAAAGCCACATGGGCATGGGCTGAAAGGATCCGAAGTTCTGAAAGGGACCAGAACAAAGATCAGGCTTTCATCAAAACAAACCCAGCCCTCAGAGATTATGGTGCAGATTTGGCTCAAATCCAGGATCTGTGGGAAATGGGAAAATAAGCCATACTACTGCTGTTGGCTTCTCCCAACCTCATTCCCTTTATCCTGAGTTTTGTTTTAAGGAGACTTTTAGAACCATCTCCCAAAGAATTCCTAATTTCTGGAAAGTGAAGAAGAAAAGTTCTATGGTATCATCACTTTCAGCCCAGGAGCAAAACAAAGTGCCATCCAGGTTCCTAAAATACCTTCCTGCCCTCATCCCCTTTGGCCCAAAGGCTCCTTGGTGCTAAGGGATTTAAGAGAGAAAAGGAGGGTTAAGCCCACTCTTTAAGCCACTGAAGCTGGGGACCTTAAGGGTCCCTCATATCTGCCTCACCCAGCCCCAAGCCATTTGCCATCCTAAATCGGTAGATGTCATCTGAGTGTCTCCTAAAAAAAAAAAAAACCGCACTGCCATCAAGTCAGATCTGACTCATAGAGACCCCTCCTTGGGTTTCCCAGGCGGTATCACTACAGAAGTAGATTGCCCAACCTTCCTTCTGAGGAGAGGCTGGTGGGTTTGAACTGCCAGCCTGAGGGTCTCCTAGCACCCCCTTTTTCCCCCTTGGCTAAGAGCTACTCATAGAAATGCAAATCTGTTTTAATTAAAGTGGCTAATAAACAGCAATTATGTTTGCAGAGATTTTTGTTTTGTTCCTAGCATAATTTTGCCTGTTTCCAAATCCCTTGTTCCTGTTCTCTTTCCTCTGTTACCTGCCACCTAAGCCCTGGCCTTTACCCCAGGGAGGTTTCCATCGCTACATGCATCACTTCAATCATCCAGCACAGCCCAGGTTACCCGAGCAAATGGCTAAACTAACCATTCCCCTTCCCCTAATACAGGTCAGGCAGGAAAGATGTGGGTTGGATAAAAGGCAGAGGCTAATAGAAGAGTTGTTGGATGCCCTCCAAGGCTGTCCAATGCAGTAAATGAGACAGGCGCTCTTGGAACCTAATATCCATAAACATATCACATACACTCAAGGTCAGTTTCTGACCTGTGGTCCCATCTGGAGCAGTCTGGGTATGTATGTAAAGGCAGGCAAGGCAATGAACTACAAGACCTTCTAAGACATAGGTAAGATTAAGTTTGTGAACATGCCCAGGGTTGGGTGATTCCCAGGGTAATTCCTGTCCTTGGTACAGGAGCAAGATGAATTTCTGTTCCTCCCTGGCTGGCCAAGCCCAGCAGAGAAGACAGTTTGTTAGGCAAGACCTCCCTCTACTGGATATCTGAGAAATAGCTTGAAATTGAACGGCTGGCTAGAGTGGAGGCGACATTAGATGCTTCTTCCTTCAGCCCTCAGCCTTCACAGGCTTACCACCTCCTTCATAAAGCTTTCCCTGTCCCCCAGATAGAAGTATTTCTTCTCCTCTGAGGTCAGTTTGTACTTTATCTGTACTGCTCTGTGGTACTAACAATCAACACCTTTTATTACAGTTATTTACGTCTCCTGGGGATTCTTACTTAGAAGCATTCACTCAGGATCCCTTGAGAGGTTTATGATGAAATGTCTAATTTATCTTTCAGTCCCCTACCTTGCACTTTCCTTTGCACATTGTTTATTCATTAAGTTGGTAAATGTTTGCTGAATGACTGAATTAATGAATAAACTTCCAAACCTGCTGAGGGAGGAGGGGGCAGCCAGGGACCTGTCCTCCCCAAATTCCCACTGTGATGCTGTCTCCTCAACAGGACCCCCCATCATCTCCAGCACCCAAACCCAGCATGCCCTCCATGGGGAAAAAGGCCAGATCAAGTGCTTCATCCGGAGCACGCCGCCACCGGACCGAATTGTGAGTGCTCCTGGGCAGTCCCATCGCTGCTACCATCACAGCCATTGGTCTCATGGGAAGGGTCGTCTCTGGGTCAGGTCTTCTCTGCCAGCAGTTGTGTGGCCTGGGCAGCTGGTACACCACTTGGGACTTCAATAGGGAAAATTATACCTACTCTGTCTTTCATTGAAAGGCATCATGAAGACAAAACTACAGGCAGTCTCCATTCTCAGCACAGGCCATGCTCTCTGAGTTTATCTGCAAGGGTATTTAACTTCACTCTACCATTCAGCTGAATTCATTCTAATCATTCTAATATCTGCCTCCACAGAGCAGAAGGGCAAGTGAGTAAGGCAGAAAACGAGAAACGCTTTCCCTTCCTGGGTTCCAAGCCAGTCTTTGGAAAATCTTAAAAAGAGTGAAGTTTCTCTTTGATAAACCTGTCTCTGTGCCTCCCAGAGTCCGTCTCTATCAATCTCCATCACCCTTAACTCCGCAGAGAAGCCGGGCCCATTTATCAAGAGCTTTCACTCTAAAATAATCATTCCCCTCCCCTTCCTCAAACTTTTACCAACACAATCTGAGGAGTTCCTACTTAGCCCTCTGAGGTATTTACATTTTTAAAAGAGTCTTCCACCCAAGGAGTCCCTGGGTGATACAAATGGTTAAGGTGCTTGGCTGCTAACTGAAAGGTTAGAAGTTTAGTTCTACCCAGTTGTTGTTGTTGTTATGTGCCGTCAAGTCGGACCCGACTCATAGTGACCCCTCCTTGGGTTTCTGAGGCAGTATCGCTACTGAAGCAGATTGCCCCATCTTCCTTCCGAGGAGTGGCTAGTGGGTTTGAACCGCCAGCCTTCTGGTTAGCAGTCAAGTACCTTAGCCATATGCTACCAGAGCTCCTACCCAGAGGTACCTCAAAATAAAGACCTGATAATCTGCTTCCAAAAAAATCAGCCATTGAAAACCCTGTGGAGCACAGTTCTACTTTGATGCAGACAGGGTCACCATCTTGACAGTAACTGGTTATTTTTTCCACCTAAAACCATTAAGACTGGTGGAAAGTCAGGAAAACAAAGAAAAATGAACATTTTCTAGTAATATTGAGGAAAGATATTGTTAGAAATCCCAACACCTAAAGTAATCCTTCTAGAAGATGGCCCAGAGGTCATCTCTACAAGGCAGTTCGAGCTCTTCACAGTGCAGTAGTGTAGGGAGGGCCTGGGCTGGGCCAGGTGCTGCCCAGCTTGTGAGCCCGTGTGTGTGAGGGACTGAGACACTGAGGCTGCTCATGATGTGTGTGAAAGGACTCCAGTCTTCCTTGGGAAGATGTTATTAGAGTGGTATGGCTGTTACACAATGTCCCAGCATTCAGTTCACCATCTGAAAGACTGACAAAAGCACTATAAAAATTGACACACAGAATTAATACCAATGTCGTCCATTCACTCCAGTCTTCACTTTTTTAAAAATCATAAACGTAACATTTTAAAATATTCCATTCACTCCTGGGCACATGATCTCTTTCTTCACAGATATCTAACTGTAGGCTCTGGGCCATTGGTTTTCAACCAGAGGTGATTTTGATCTGCCAGGGGACCTTTGGCAATGTCTGGAGACGGTTTTGGTTGTCACAATTAGAGGATAGGGTGCTAGTGGCATCTAGTGGCCAGGGATGCTGCTAAATATCCTATAATGAATAGATCGTTCCATATTTCTAAATAGCTAGAAGGCCATTAGAAAAAGAGAACCAATCACTATGTATAGTGATTCCTCCATGAATAGCATATGCTTCTGATCAGAGACTGGACAAACTAGATACTCCCAGAGCATTTGTACATGGAAAGTAACTTTTATTACTTACAAGAGGTAGACAACATGCCAGACCAAATGCAGGTCCATTTTTTCAGCCAGTCTCCCCTTGACACGAACAAGAGGTTGTGTCCGGATAGAGATGATGACTCTTTTATGCCTTGTAGCATAGGTACAATGAGGGCCTTCTGCTGATCCCCTTGGCCAGGCTTAGTTAGGTGAGCTGAAAACTTCTGCTACATGTTTTCCACCTAGCACCATAGTCAAGGTACTCCAATGGTCCCTAGGTCGGCCATTTTATAGCCCAAAGCCTACAAGACACGATACACAAATAGCAATGTAGATTTTTCCCACTTGAGCACTGTAAAGAGGGAGGCAGGTACCTTGGCACCAACCCAGAAAGGTATCTCTTTAACCCTGCTTGGGCAATCTACTTCCATAGTGATACCACCTCGGAAACCCAAGGAGGGGTCGCTATGAGTTGGGTCTCGATGGCACATGACAACAACAACAAACATCAAGCCTCAGAGTGGGAGGCAGTGGCTTGTTCTAGGGTCTCCTCATGCCCCCTCCCTTCCTGTGGATTGTTGTCAAGGTAATGAGTTGAAGACTCCCAACTCATTTGCACATTTTCAAATGTTGCCTGGCTGTTTTAGAAGAACAAAGACACTGATTCCAAGGGCTGTTGTCAGAAACCAGAGACAAAGGGCCAAACCAAGTTCTTCGTCCTATACCCCCACAACAAAGAATTGTCCAAAATGTCAATAGTGCCATGGTTGAGAGACGTTGCCCTGGGCTGCCCTCCAAGCATTTACCTGTATTGCCACATTCTTATAAATACTGTGAGCCAGCATGTGTGAGGGGCTTCAACATTGAGGCACTTATAGTGTAAGTGAGATGACTCTGAAAAAAAAATTTAAACTATCATCCTTATAAACTAAGATATAGTAAGGTTTTCACAAATACAATTGCCTGAACATACTTTTTAAAAGAGACATGCAAAGCCACCAAACTAGACTGAGTGACTCTGGAGCTGGTGGTCTGTCTCAGACCTGCTAGGGCAGCAGGCAAATAAAAGGGAGTGTCTGTGAGGGAGCCCCAAGCGTGGACCCACTAAAATGAGCACTCTTTGCAGAGCCCACAGGTAGAGGCTCAGAATGAGCTCTCAAGAGTTCCCTCTTTGCCTGAAAAAAAAATCCCAAGTGTAGATGCATGGGGGGCGGGGGGATGAGCAGTTGCCATGGAGTCAATTCCAACTCACTGTGACCCCAAATGTATCAGAACTGTGCTCCATCGAGTTTTCATTGGCTGATTTTTCAGAAGTAGATCACAGGCCTTTATTCTCAACTGCCTTTAGGTGGGCTTGAACCTCTAACCTTTGGTTAGCAGCCAAGCATGTTAACCATTTCTACCACCCCAGAAGGCCTTCTTTTTTAATGGAAACACCCAATGAGATGGTCCCAACCTGTGGTGTGTGTGTGGTGTGGTGTGTGTGTCATGTGTATATGTATGCTATGTATGTGTTATGTGTGGGTGTGTGTGTTGGGAGTGGGGGCGGTTGTGGCAGTAACCATGAATGTGAGCCTGATACTGTCAGCTCTTGCAGGAAGGTGGTGGCTTTGTGATCCTGGTATATGTGGCTTACATGGGGGTCCACCTCCTAACTCTGCACACCCTGGGCAGGCCTGGTCCTGGAAGGAGAACGTGCTGGAGTCAGGGACATCAGGGCGCTATACAGTGGAGACAGTCAGCACTGAGGAGGGTGTCATTTCCACCCTGACCATCAGCAACATCGTGCGGGCCGACTTTCAGACCATCTACAACTGCACCGCGTGGAACAGCTTTGGCTCTGACACAGAGATCATCCGGCTCAAGGAGCAAGGTGGGGCTGCCAGGACTGTGAGGGGAATGGCAGGAGCTGCAAGGCCTTCTCCTCACCCAGGGAAGAGTATGAACATGTTCTGGGGTGGGGGCAGCCACAGGCAAGGTCTCGTGGGTCCTGAGCAGACAGAGCACCTAGCAGAAGGCAACAGGCCAGGTTGGGGCCAGGAACAAGCCACAGTGCCCTTCCTTACTTTCAGCATGGCCTTGGGCAAGGCAGATGCCTCCGTGGGGCCCCAGCTCCTCCCTGTAGCAAGGAGAGCTGCCTCCACCAGGAAGCAAGAAGGGGAAGAAAGTTGCTCACCATTGTGGCTTTTTCAGGAAAAGGTGACCACAGAGTGAGATAAGCTACTATTTGTGGTAAGAAGTCACCAAGCAACTTCTGAAAGCTCTGGCTCCTGACACACTCCCTAGTGGCCCTGGCCAGATGCCAATTCAACCTTAAAGGAGTGTGAGCCTCTGAGAAGTGGCCTGGGGCCCTGGGTCCATCATGGAGAATAAACTGGAACGGATGTGTTGCGGGTCCAGCCCAGCCCCAGTTAAGATAACAAGCAGGTCCAGTTATCTGAAAGTCCCCCAGGGGCCACCCGAGCCAAAGCAAAGGTATTAGCCTCGTGTTGGCCTAATCCCAGGTGGGGGGGTGGGGGTGGAGATTGGGACCAGGCTGAGACCCCTGCAGTTCAGCCTGCACCACCAAGCTCTGGAGGATTCAGCTGCCAGAAGGGCATATCTGGTGGTTGAGAGGAGGAGGGAAGAGGCCCGCCACCATGTGGTTCAAGGCACAGACTCCCAGCTCCTGGCTGGAAGTGTAGGAGGCAACTCTAGTCTGTGCTCAGAATCCTTGGGCATCAACTGTAGGGCAGCGAGTGGCTGCCTCTGCGAAGCACAGAGGAATGGGTCTAAAGAACTCTGGTTACAGCAGGAGCATACTCTGTCCTAAGATGGGCTAGAGCTTGGCCCTTTTCCTGCCTGGGATAAATCACATGATAGTCAAGGGGTTTGTGCGCAGCTGGCCAGGGCATTGGGATAGACTTCAGCGGGCCCAGAATCCTAGGTCCTGACAGTTACTGACACCCCCACCCTGAGGTGAAGGTCCACCCACAACTTATCAGGCCCTGGCAAGAGATCCTGCCCAAGGAAGTGTTCCTAGCTAGGCCCCCTTGGGCTTCCCTTTATTAGATAGGTGTCCCAAAACTTCTCCCCTAATAGGTGCTGCTTTGCATAATGCTTTGCACATAACTTACATAGTACCATCCACACATCATCTCAAACCTTTGGCCCCCCCACCCCCTTGCTCACCCTCTGTGTCTTCTCCCCAGTGCCCCACCCCATGCTCTCCCTTAGTGTCTCACCCCACCTCCCCAGCCCCCCTCCTCCACTTCTCTCTCTGGTCCCTCCCTCTGGAGTCTCAAGTTACTCTGAATGAACTCCAAGTTCAGTCCAGCCAGACTGGTTCTGCTGGGCGATCCGGAGAGCAGTCCGGAGACTTGAGTGACAAGAGAGTCCCCTGGTCCTAACCCCTCCAGGTGGCCTCCCTGCAGTCCCCTACCCTGGCCATCCAGGCCCTGGCTGTGGACGCTTGCTTTATTTCCAAACAGGTTCGGAAATGAAGTCGGGAGCCGGGCTGGAAGCAGGTATGGAAGGAGATGATGAGAACCTCCAGGGGATGGGGGGAAGGGACTTCTTGGCTAGTTGGGGAGGGAGCCTGAGAGGGGTTGGAGAGGCCTTTGCAGGCTGCTAACTTACTCTGCCCTTCTCATAGCTCCGGGGTTAGTACTGGCAGGGCAAAGAAAGGGGTTCCCAGCCAGCTTGGTCTAGGGACCCTGAGATCTCTGTCCTGTGTCACTGCTGCCAGGGTCCCCAGATGCCCTCCTCCTTAGATCGTGGCTCTCAGTCCTCTTCCCTCCATCCCTTCTCAGAAGAAGCCCTGGCTCCTCCCCTGGGGTCAGCTCTCCAGGTCCTGGCCTCCCTCCATGCCCTCCCTGCCTGTCCTGCTTCTCCACCTCATCCCAGCTTAGCCATTGCTCCCCCAGCCCTGATGTGGCCTGTCTAATCCATGCCTTCTCACTGGCTGCCACCTCCCTGCTGTGTAACATGTATCATCTCACCACCAGGCCTTGGCTGCTGGGCAAGGCCTCTCTCCCCAGGCACCTGGCACTAAGTGTTCATCAGGCTCCCTGGGCACTGCCCCACAGGAGGCGAATGCCCCCTCCCCCAAGCCAGACCCCACAGGGCAGCCCAAGGCCATGCTGAAGACCTGGATGTCCTCTGCTTTGGTTCTTGTGCCATGCTGGCCCAGAAGGCCCTAGGGAAATGTCACCTCCTTCAGCAAGCTTGGGGTGGGGGGACCATGTGCCCCTGTGGGAGTACTATCCAGGGCTCAGGCAAGTTCAGAGAGGCCTCGGAAACCCAGGCAGAAGCAACACCAAACAGAACCTCCTGATATGTTCTTCTTGACTCCTCTTCCTCAGTGGCCCCTGGCGCTGGGGCGTGGAATCACCTCTTTGTCTCCATTTCATTTCGTTGACACTCATCCCAAGCTTCCTGACAGCCCTTCCTCCCTTCATGGCACTGAGCCAGACAGCGATCCCTCCCTCCTATTCTATCCCCAGGAGACAACAGGAAAGATGCTCTACCCCAGAAGGAACAGCCTGCACAAAGTAACCCAGCCCAAACCCCGGAAAGCTGAACAAGGAGAAATATACATACAGGCAGGCTGCAAAGGCACTGGTCATCCCAGGGCACCACACAGACCTGCAGGTTCCTCCTCTTGCTCTGCCCCAGCCAACCTTAGGCAATTCTCCAACCCCTCCACCCTCCCCAGGCTGTTAACAACTCAAGGAAGCATAGAATCTCAGGATGCTAGGCTCAGAAGGTACCTTAGACACCCACCCACCCACCACCACCCACATTCTAGTTTTACAGATGAGACACTGAGGCCTGGAGAGGTTAGGAACCTTCCCATGGTCATCTTTTGATTAAGTTCAGCTGAGACAAGACCAGAGTTTTTCTTTGGTCACTTAGCTAAGAAGTGGTTGAACCCAGGTCCTAACAGCTCAGCAGTCTGGATTCAGCTCCTTGTTCTTTATCCCGGTGCAGTACAGAGCACATGAAGTTTGAAGGACACCATATGACATAGTGGATGGAGTAGGGGTGGGCAAATGGTGGGAGCAATGAGAGAAGAACAGGATTTGGTCCTGACTCTACTGCAGGACTCCAAGGACAAACTGAATGAAATCCAAATAAATAAAAGTCAAAAGGCAAGAGCCAATGATATCCCAAAGCTAATGGCATTAAAACTCAGACACAGAATCATCTGTTTGTCAAAACAGGCTCAATTGGGCTGAGGTCAAGTCCATTTTCTTAATCCCAGTTGTTGAGACCGACCCACACACCTCCCATTTTCAATCCTGGAGTGTTTTCCGATCCCACTTCCTCTTTGTCCTGTCTCCCACCCCCCTACAGTGGTCTCAGCCACCAATAGGTTGGTAACCAATAAATTCGTGTTCAACCCTTGGGCAAAAAAGAAATATACTAGTATAACCACCAATATTGCACACCAAAAAGCACCAACTCTCTCCGGAGCATCTCCAGAACCCAGGGTTTGAGTCTTCCTCTCTTTAAAGAAAATGACAATGAGAGGTTAACCCACAGCACCACAGCAAATGCTTAACTGTCCCACAAGGTCACTCACACTGATGGAAGTGGGGTGGGGTAGGGTGGGGTGGGGTGGGGTGGGATGGTGAAGGAGCTCAGCTCTTTATAGGAACTTCCTTCAGTTCCTACAGTCCCCCCTTTCCATACAGTAACAGTAGCAAGCCATTGAATAGGACTAAGTACCAGGCTCTGTTCCAAGGCCTTAACCTGCATTCACTCACTTAACAACCCTATGAATTCAGTAGTATGAACATCCCCATTTTACAGATAAGAGAGGTAAAATGACTTGTTTAAGGGCACTTATCAAAGAAGTGATAAAGCCCAGGTTTTAACAGCCCAACAGTCTGGCTCCAGCTCCTTGCTCTCTACCCAGATGTAGTACAAAGCATATGAGATTTGAAAGGCACCATGTGACATTGTGGATGAAGCAGGGGCAGGGCAAATAGTGGGAGTGGTAGAGAGAACAACTGGATTTGGTCCTGGCTTTACAATAGGAGCTCTGGTGGTGTAGTGCCTAAGACATCTGACTGCTAACCAAAGGGTTGGTGGTTCAAACCCACCAGCCACTTCTCAGAAGGAAGATACGGATACCATCTCAGAAACCCAAGGAGGGGTCACTATGAGTTGGATCCAATTCAATGGCAATGAATTTGGTTTGGTTTTTGGTGCATCCTTGCCCTAGTCACTTCCTTCTTTGTAAAATGGGAAGCTTGCATCAGTGGTGCCTAAGGTCTCCCAGCTCCAGCACCCTGTGATTCTATTGCTAATGGGATCTTTAGAGCCCCAAAGCTCCAACCCACTATGCATCCACAGAAGGGCCAGGGCTGTCAGGAAAAGAACCCCCATCCATCATCATCCTGGCCATCTCCCTCCCAACTCTTCAAGGGTAGGAGACAGACTGCAGAAATTAAGCAGGGAGTAAGGAGTTCAGGGTCCTCTCTCAAGAGCAGGGTAGACAGGATGCTCACAGAGCTGGCCTATGAGGAGAAAGAAGAAGACTGGGTGAGTCAAGGAAAAGGGGAATTTCTCCTTAAAAAAGGGGTGCAAGGGAACTGTAATAACACTGCCTTGCCCAGTGCCTCTTCCAGGGTGCCCTGTCCCCAGACTTGGGCATCTTGGAAATACGACTTTTGTTGCTCAGCAGACCCTGAGGGGAAGCTGCCTCAGCTCAAATCCATGTCCAGCCTCTATGCTGCTGGGAAAGGGGAGAGAAGGAGAGAACAAACTGAACAACCAAGGGCAGTAACCATAGTCCTTTTTCAGAGCAAAGCCAGCACTTATGACTTACTAGTCCCTGAATGATAGAATATTCCTTGCTTAATACCAAAAAGAGCTGAACCATTCCGGCCTTGCCTCTCATTTCCTGTACCCCTCTGCCCCAGCCCTCCCCTCTGCTTGCTTTCCTCTCTTTCCACCACTGCCTCTGGTGTCTGTCTCTCTCCCCAAGACTCCCTCCCCCTCCTCCACTCATCCACCCCACTGTGTCCTCATCCCTTCTTTACAGCCCAGCCGGAGCTGACCCCTGTTGGATTCTGCCTCTTCTTACCCAGGCCCCACCATGGCATTTCCCAGGAGGGGCCCACCTGGCAGTAATCTAGCCCCAACTTGGCAAAGAGCTACCCTGAGGGGACTGGGCAAGGTCCTGGGAAGTATTGAACCATCTCCCAGCCCCTCATCAGCTGTGCCTGCTTCTCTCCCACAGAGTCTGTGCCAATGGCAGTCATCATCGGGGTGGCCGTAGGAGCTGGCGTGGCCTTCCTCGTCCTCATGGCAACCATCGTGGCCTTCTGCTGTGCCCGCTCCCAGAGAAGTACGGGAGGGAGACCCGGGATCTCAGGGAGGGGGACAGAGAAAAAGGCCAGGCTTAGACTGCCCCGGAGAGCAAGTAAGCAGGAGTGTAACGAGCAGGGGTCCTAACAATGCGGTGAGCTCCTGGGATAGGGATGGGTCTTCTCCATCTTTTGATTGGCAGTGCCTTGCATGGCATCTGGCACACAAGTGGGCACTGAATTTGAACTACATGGAAAGAAATGTCATCAAACAGAGCAGTCAGATAGCACCTTGGGTTGAACATACCACAGCACTCTTGACTGGAAACTGTATTGAGATCAAAGGTGAAAAAGAGGTGATTTGATTTTTGCCCTCCAAGAGCTGCTAGTTCAACCAGAAAAACAAGTCACCTTCATAAAGAAAGAAAGCATTCAAGAAATTGCTTTGCACTGACTTTTAAAGGGTGTTAGTCAGTACCAAGGAAATCCTGGTATATCTGATCTCTTGAGGAAGTGTGTTTATCTGGAATTCCCATACTGGGCATAGCTCTAAAGTTATGTGTGATACAAATCTGTAAGGGTGAATGGGGTGGCAGAGTAGAGAGAGGTGCAGACAATGGTGACACAGTCTTCTGTTTACCTTATAACATTGGGTAAGCCAACCTTCAGTTTCTTCATTTGTAGATGGCACGGTTTTTATGACCCCTTCTTGTTCTAAAATTCTAGGAACTTAATGCACAAGATGAATAAATCAGAGTACCACTTGGTCTTCACATCTGGAAGAAAGCTGTTGGGTTCCCCTTACATTTCCTCACTCCAAGCTAGGCAGCCCTGGCTCCCTTGACTACCCTCAACGGTTTGGTCTCAGGACTTCCTTCACCACCTCAGTTAGTGGAAATTATACAGGGGCATAGTTTAGTAAGAATTTTCTAGCAGAGCTATGTAACTCTAAGCAACTGTCCCATCTAGAAGTAGGAAATCCTATCCTGGAAGCTAGACTTCCACAGGTCAGTGATATTTTAGAGAAGGTTTCTGCTTTGGGTGGGTGGCTGACTGGAACCGTAAGGCCTTTTCTAACACTAAGATCTGTAATTCTATTTATTGAGAGATCAGACACTGGTGGGGTAGGTCAGCAAGGACTTCTAGAAGGGAGTAAGGATTTTTGTTCTCCTTTGCATTCTTTTATTTATTTTGAACAGTTCATTGTGTTTTAGGTGAAAGTTTACATGGCAAATTAGTTTTGCATTCAATAATTCATAATGCAAATTCCATGACATTGGTTGCTATCCCCACAGTTGTCAGCCATTACTACCTGCCATGGAGTTGATTCCAACTCATATTCCAACACTATAGGACAGAATAGAATTGCTCCATAGGGTTTCCAATGCTGGAAATCTTTAAACAAGCAGGCTGCTACATCTTTCTCCTCTGGACAGCTGCTGGGTTCAAACTGGGGACAGCTGGTTAGCAGCCAGGTGTGTTAACCACTGCACCATCAAGGCTCCACCCTGCTTTCCTCATTTCCATCCACCCAGTTTCCCTGTCCCTCCTTGCCTTCTCATCTTTGTTTTTGGCTAAATGTTGCCCATTTGGTCTCCTACAGGTATAGTTGATTGTTTTAAGGAGCACATTCCTCATGAGTTGTTTATTTTGTAGGCCAATCTACTTATCTGGCTGAGAGGTGACCTCCAGAAGTGGCTTCCATTCCAGATTAAAAGGGTGTCTTACGACAATAGTATTGGAGGTTCCTCCAGTCTCTATAGTCCAGCAAATCTGGTCTTTTATGAGCTTGAGTTGTGTTGTACATTTTTATCCCATTCTAAACAGTACCTTCTGTTGTGTGCCTGGTCAGAGCAGTTGGTAGTGGTAGCCAGACACCATCCAGTTCTGTCCTCAGGCGAGAGGAGGCTATAGTTCATGTGGGCCATAAGTCCTGTGGACTGATTGTTTTTTGAGTCTTTGGTTTCCTTCATTTTCCTTTGTTCCAGTCCAAAAAAGACCAATAGTTGTATCTTAGATGACGCTTGCAAGCTTTTAAGACCCCAGACATGATTCACCAAACTAGTATGTAGAACATTTACCTACATGGATCCTGAGACTATGGTCATGAGCCCTCAAACCCAGTCCCATAAAGTATTTGGATATGCCTAGGAAGTTTCCATAACTGTGCTCCAATGTGCTATATTACATATATGAATATACATATAGCACATACAGAAATGCGGTGTGCTTTTTGGGCCTTGGAGGAAACTGTCACTTGCACCAGCCTTTAAAAATATAAAGCCCACAACCATACTTATATATGCACTCACATGTGCTTCTATACACCCTCCCACACCTATATAGCATACATATCTACCTGTAACCACTCACAAATTTTTCTTGTTATTACTGTTGCAGAATTGTGTATGTTATAGCATTTACTGTGGCTGTTCTTTATTATTGTATACCTCTCAGTGTCTTCATTTACCTTGGTGACATTGTACTGACTTCCCCCATATTGTGTATTGCCTTTTCCTTCATCAGAATTAACACATGTCTACTATCTAGTGAATGATTCTTCCTCCCTCTCCCTCTCATCCCTGGTAACCATCAAAGAATGTTAGGAAGCAAGGATCTAGTAGAATGGAAAAGACCTAGCTCCGTACAAAGGTGGACAAGTGGATGACAACACTGGGTAGTAAAGGCTGGTGCAAGTGACAGCTTCCTCCAAGGCCCAAAAAGCACACCGCATTTCTGTACAGACATTTTGTTGGTGGGGGGTGGGCTAAAGCTGCTGAGCTCTGGGGCTGGGGTGAACTTTGGGGGATGGGGTGGGAGTGGTTGGCTTAATGTCTCAGACCCTAACGCTTGAAGTGGGAACTGAGCCTGTCATCCACACTTTCCTATGTTATGTACAGATCTAAAAGGTGTTGTGTCAGCCAAAAATGATATACGAGTGGAGATTGTCCACAAGGAGCCAGCCTCTGGCCGGGAGACTGAAGAGCACCCCACCATCAAGCAGCTGATGGTAAGAATGCTGTCCCCACCCTGTGAACCCTGTTCCCTAAACATCTTGGGAATAGAGGCTTCCTAGGTGCCAAATAACCCCAGAAGCAGAGCATCAGTCAAGATGGGCATCCTCTTCGTAATAGGCCAGGCACATACTCTCAGTCAACAAATATTTACTGTGTTCCTGCTATATTGTGCTTGGTGTTCCAGGGCATTGAAGACATCTAAGATGTAGTTCCAGCCTTCAAAGACCCTGACTGTTCAGTAGGGAGAGAAGACATAGGCATAAATCACCATAATGTGTTGTTATATAACACATATCCATCACATGTACATACACAGATATGTTCAGTTATTGCTGCTCCTCCCCCCCACCATCCTCCCCCCAAAAAAATTCTGTAAAAAGCATATGTTCCTTCTCAGGCACTGGATTATTCCTCTGAAGCAAACTCATAACTTCTCCAGCAACCTCGGACCTGCTTCTACTCTTATTGATCCCCATTGTTGTTGTCATCAGCTGCTGTCGTGTTGACTCTGACTCATGGCAACGTCATGTACAACAGAACAAAACGTTGCCCAGTCCTGTGTCATCCTTATGATCGCTAGCATGTTTGAGTCTATCACTGTGGCCATGGTGCCAATCCATCTCACTGAGGGTCCCCATGCCCTCATTGGCCCTCAGCTTCACCAAACATTATCTCCTCCTCCAATGATTGATCCCTCCTGATGACACGTCCAAAGCAAGAGAGTCACAATGTTCTGTTGTAATCCATAGGTTTTCACTGACTAATTTTCAGAAGTAGATCACCAGGGCTTTCTTCCTAGTCTGGCTTACTCTGAAAGTTCTGCTGAATCCTGTCCACCATGGGTGACCCTGCTGGTATTTGGAATGCCAGTGGCATAGCTTCCAGGAGCATAGCAACATGAAAGCCAGCAGAGAACAGCAAACTGACAGACAGGTGGAGTTGATCCCCATTAATGGACCCTAATCCAGCCAGCTGTCCAAGCAGAAACCTAGATAAGAAGAGACTGGAAGCTTCTAGTACATACTATGTCATGGCTGTGATTAATGGCAGCAGAGCAAGGTGGTAAAGAGCATGGGCTTCCTTGTGTCTCAATGTTCTCATCTGTGAAATGGGGATGAAAGTAATAGTATACAGAGCTGTGGTGAGGATTACATGAGTTGATGCCTGTCAGAGCCTAGTGCTCAATGTTGTTAGTTGCCATAGAGTAAGCTTCAACTCACGGCAACCCCACATACAAAGAATAAAATGTTGCCCAGTCCCCCACCATTGTCACTGTCGTTGGTATGCTTCAGTCCGTTGTTGAGGCCACTGTGTATTTTGAGTGCCTTCCAACCCCAAGAGCTCACCTTCAGGCACTCTGTTGGACAGTGTTCTCTTGTGATCCATACGGTTTTCACTGACTAATTTTCTAAAGTAGATTGCCAGGTGTTTCTTTCTAGTCTGTCTTAGTCTGAAAGCTCTGCTAAAACATGTCCACCATGGGTGGCCCTGCTGGTATGTGAAATATCATTGGTATAGCTTCCAGCATTATAGCTGGAATGTTCAGTGATGCTGGAAATACACAATAAATGTTAGCTATTTGTATTGCTCTGAAATGATCTGTCTCCACTAGATGGTGAATATTTGCTGCCTTATTCATCCCTGTGTCTCCATGGCCTTACAAAGTCCCTTGTAGATGATCACAAAGGTTTATTGAATTGAACTGGTTGGGAAATCTACTTCCATAGTGATACCGCCTCAGACACCCAAGGAGGGACCGCTATGAGTCGGATCCGACTCGACGGCAGTGAGTTTGGTTTGGTTTGTGACTCTTTCTGTTTCCAACTGATATTCAGGTCCTGTCAATTCTACTTCATGACATTTCTCAAATCTGTGCCCACCCATACTCCACTGTCACTTCCTCAGCTCAAGTTTCATCATTACTCACCTGCCTCCTCATTGGTCTCATCATTCTAGACTTTTCTCACCTTATTCAATCCCCACTCCAGTGTCCAACACAAAATCTTTCTGAAATACAAACCAGACCATGTTACTCCTACTTTAAAGCCCTGAGTACCCCACTACACACCATAGGTCCTGCTGGATAAAGTTCAGATTGCTTAGCAAGGCATCAAGGCCCTTCATTAGGAGGTAGCTGCCCACCTTTCTTTCCACCTTCATCTTCTGCCAAAACCTCCTGCACATCAGCCACTAAAGAATTAAATCAGTTGATTCTCAGTCACCGCCATAACTTTCCACGCTTGCACCCCACTCCTGGCAGTTTTGCACTTTCTGCTCTCTCAAAACACATTGCATATTCCTCCCTCTAGGCACTGTCCTAGCTACACTGTCAGCCTCCTCAACTATCCCTGAGTTCCTCAAGGGCAAATGTCAGATTCCTGAGTCTGCTCTCATCTATTTCCCCCAGGCCTAACATGGTGCCTGACACACAGTAGTGTTTAATTTTACAAAAGAGGAAACCACCACCTAGACCTAAGAAGGCATGAGCAACTGTAGATGAACTTCAGCCAGTCTGGCATGGAAGAACCCAGAGTGTGCTTCTCATCAAATGGGAGTTGGGACATTTAAATTGCCTCAGACTGTCTCACACAGAATTCCTTGGGTGGTGCAGACAGTTAACATGTTCAGCTGCTAACCTTTCACCTCGGAAGAAAGGCCTGGCAATCTACTTCTGAAAACTCAGCCATTGAAAACCCAATGGAGCACAGTTCTACTCTTAACACATATGGGGCACAATGAGTTGGCCACTTGGCAGCAGGTGGTCTCCACACCAGCTAATCTAAACACACAGAAAAGAGTTAGATCGCCACTTAAGAACAAAGGGGATAACTCTAGCTAAAGGGGCTTGCTGAAGGCTCTGTAGCTCAGCCTGCCCCTGACAAGACATGCATTCCCCTACCTCCTTCACTCCCTGCCCTCTGTATGGCCCCATTCTCAGGGATAGGCAGCTTAGAAATTGAATCTGGTGAGAAAGCCCAAGAATTTACTGGAAAATGAAAAAGCAGTATTGGTGTAGAGGTAACAGGATAGAAGCACTTTGTCTGATTCCATGGGACTCAAAAAAGAGACTAGGGAGGTGGGTTGTAAGGGAGATGAAACAGCTCAGCTCAGAGAAGAGGTGGAAGCCTGCCATAGACCATGTAATTAGCAGAAGTGATAAATGGGAAGCATGTGTCACAGGATAAGCATCATTGTGGTTATGCAGAGTAATTAATACACCCACTGTGTGCAGGATATTCTTTGTTTTTCATCTTATGTCTAATGATTATTTTAATTTTCTGTAATTCAGAGCTATGTCACTTCAGTCATTCATTCACTCTAAACATAAATTTTATAGCTATACATCGGGTACTGCATTAAAACCAACCAAATCCATTGCCGTTGAGTCAATTCTGACTCAGCAATTGTATAGGACAGAGAACTGCCCCCACTGGGTTTCCAAGTCTATAAATCTTTATGAAAGCAGACTGCCTCATGTTTCTCTCGAGGAGCACTGGTAACCAAAACTTTTGGTAACTGAACTTTTGGTTAGCAGTTGAGTGCTTAACCACTGTACCAATAGGACTCCTTAGCACTGTATTGTTGTTGTTGTTGTAATGTGCCGTCGAGTCGGACCCGACTCATAGCGACCCCTCCTCGGGTTTCCGAGGCAGTATCACTACGGAAGTAGATTGCCCCATCTTCCTTCCGAGGAGTGGCTGGTGAGTTTGAACCACCAGCCTTCTGGTTAGCAGTCAAGTGCCTTAGGCACTATGCTACCAGAGCTCCCTTAAGTATTGTTGTTGTTGTTGTTGTTATGTGCCGTCGAGTCGGCCCCGACTCATAGCGACCCCTCCTTGGGTTTCCGAGGCAGTTATCACTACGGAAGTAGGATTGCCCAACCTTCCTTCCGAGGAGTGGCTGGTGGGTTTGAACCGCCAGACGTCTGGTTAGCACTGTATTAGGCACTGGCAAATTGAAGAACTAATAAAACAATTAAATATAATTCCATTAAAAAAGGTTTTTGGCCCATGACCACCATATGCAAAGCACAGTACTAAGTGCAGTGGGTACCCAAAGACAAAGAAGTGATCCTTGCCTTCGGGCTGACTGGCACCCAGTAAAGGAGATAGCATTTTACTACATCTAAGTCATTGTCATGAATAACAGGTATGGCCTATATTGCTGCCACTGTACATGTCATTACTCACTGTGGTTCCTTCTTAAGGCCTTCAATAAGACCTTGCTCTGGGTAAGGGATTGCCTTGCCAGGAGCCCCACCTATGTGCAGTAGATGATGTCCTGTAATTTTAGCTATATGTCCATCTCCCTGATGAGCAAAGATGTATCTTAACATGATGTCGCTGATTCAATATCTTAGCTCAACATCTGGCCTGCAATTCAATAAATACTCAATTATTGGGTTGAATCAGGAACTTGAGACCTCTGGAAGTGACACCCTAGTCCAAGTGAAGACATTGTGGCCTTGGAGACCTGCCTTCATGCCTCTGTGTCCCTTTCTATGTCTTTGGATGGGGGTTCAGCAACAAAGAGGAGAGCCAGAATTTCATCTTGACTCCTTTACTTAGCTCCTATGGTCCAAGCAGGGAGGGCAGGGGTGAGGGTAAGGCAACATAGTTTTCTTTCTTATTTATTTCCCCATCTTCTCCTTGGGGAAAATGTAAATTTAGCCCTCCTCCCATCCACTGAGTAGCCACTTTTGGGTTGTAGATGGACCGGGGTGAATTCCAACAAGACTCTGTGCTAAAACAGCTGGAGGTCCTCAAAGAAGAAGAGAAGGAATTCCAGAATCTGAAGGTAAGAGCAGACCTTCAGGAAACAGGACAGCCATAGAGTTTGTTTCTCAGTTCTGATGGCTCAAGCCCCAAATTGATAAAACCTCAAAGAGTGATAGTAAATAACAGAAAAATAGGCTAGAGCCACCTAAGGGACAGATGCCCATCCACTGCCTAAGGGGGGACACTCCCTGCCTAAGGCCCTGTTCTCTCTACCTCAACAGAGAGAACTAAGGTTGAGTTCCCATAATTCATCTCTCCCACAGACTTCTCACACATAAACTTCAAAATTAATTATCCGTGTTCTGGACAAAACAAAACGATTGAAGTCTGAATTTTCAAATCACCTTGCAGCGGCCTGGTGTGACAAAACATATCCAGGCGCACCTGGTCATTTAGGGCCTTAGCCCTCACTTGGCTAAACAAGAAGCCCATTCTTCTTGTCTCCCACCACGCTAATGCCCTGGGCTATCTCCTGGTGGGGATCCTTGCAGCCCTATTCCACTCCTTCCCATTTGCTCCTCTCCTCTGTCTTCCCCAGCTATTGATGTGTCATATAGGAACCGGCTCAGCTAGAACCCCCATCAGGGTTCAACGCAGGCTCCGCCCAATAATGCCCTTCTTGTTCTCACTCCTACCAGGACCCCACTAATGGCTATTACAGTGTCAATACCTTCAAAGAGCACCACTCGACTCCCACCATCTCACTGTCCAGCTGTCAGCCAGACCTGCGCCCTGCAGGCAAGCAGCGAGTGCCCACAGGCATGTCCTTCACCAACATCTACAGCACCCTGAGTGGCCAGAGCCGCCTCTACGACTACGGGCAGAGGTTCGTGCTCGGCATGGGCAGCTCATCCATCGAGCTCTGCGAGCGGGAGTTCCAGAGGGGCTCCCTCAGCGACAGCAGCTCCTTCCTGGACACGCAGTGTGACAGCAGCGTCAGCAGCAGCGGCAAGCAGGACGGCTACGTGCAGTTCGACAAGGCCAGCAAGGCCTCCGCGTCCTCCTCCCACCATTCCCAATCCTCTTCCCAGAACTCCGACCCCAGCCGGCCCCTGCAGCGGCGGATGCAGACTCATGTCTGAGGGTCACAGACCATGGGAGGGAGAGGGAGGGCCAGGGAAGAGGAGCTGGAACATAGGGTTGGGTACTTTGCAGAGCCCACCACAGGACCGCCTCTGGTGCTTCTGCCACCACCCTCTTTCGAAGCTCTGATTAAGCACAAACCCAGCCCCGCTGCAGTGCACCAAAGGAGAAGTGGCCTGAGGATGCGGCAGAGGGCGTTGTGCTTGGGTGGATGTCCCTTCCCCAGCCCTGTCCTGGAGGCCCCTCTACTACCTGCTCTTCCCACGGGCCCTCGTGGCAGCTATAACTTTGCTTTAATGAAACTGCCGTCCACTCTCCGGTCTCCCACGGGTTCTCCCATTACTATCCATAAGCCCCACCCCTGTGCCGGTGCTCCTAGAAGACCCCCCTCCCCGGGGAGAGAAAGGCAAAGGTGAAGTTCTTCCCAGCACCCAGATAACCCCAGAGACCCCAGCTCCCACTGGTCAGAGCCCAGATCTGGAGGCTGAGAAGCCAGACACTGCCTTGGCCAAACGAACATCTCACCACTCTGGCCAGGAGTCCACCCCCAATTTGTTTGGTGTTATGTGTCTATACTCTTCACAGTTCTGTCCTTGATGCCACTGAACTCTGAGGTGGTGCACTGGGAGGGAGGGGGGGAGGGAGGAGGAGGCTGCATCCTTGGGGAACACTTTGCCTAACATTCCCCTCTTTAGGCTGTTGCCCTCTCAGAGCTCCCACCCACTCTTGCTTTGTGTACTCCCCTCCTGCCCTACAACACAATCAGAGTTAATATAAGAAGTGTGAGAGCTTCTCTGACCAGGGTTTGTTAAACAAGTCACTGGAGACAGTGTTTGCTGGAAGGTGTAGTGTGGTAGATAGAGTGAGTTCATTTGAGGGTGTCCTAGTTACCTAGTGCTGCTATAACAGAAATACTACAAACGATTGGCTGTAACAAATAGAAATTTTATTTTCTCACAATTAGGAGGCTAGAAGTCCAAATTCAGGGTGCTGGCGCTAGAGGAAGGCTTTCTCTCTCTGTCGGCTCTGGAGGAAGTTCCTTGTCTCTTCTAAGCTCCCAAGCAGCTTCATGTGACTTGGTATCTCTCTTCCCCTATCCCTGCTTCTTTCACTTGATTGTTTAATCTCTTTTATATCTCGAGAAAGAGATTGACTCAAAATACACCCTACGCCAATCCTGTGTCGTTAACATAACAAAGGGAAACCATTCTCAAATGGGATTATAACCACAGGCATAGAGGTTAGGATTTACAACACATTTTTGCAGGACACAGTTCAATCCATGACAGTCTATGCCTTGCCCCCCCCAAAATCCATGTCCTTGCCATATGCAAAAAAACACATTCTCCCCATCACATCATTCCAAAAGTCTTAACTCCAAGTCCAAAATCTCACCTTCTGAATTACCTAAATCAAAATATGTGTGAGACTTTAGGCATATTCCATCCTTTTGCTTTTAGGCAAAATTCCTCTTTGTGAACCTGTGAAATCTAGAATACAAGTTATCTGCTTATAAGTTACAATGGTGGAAGAGCCACAAGTTACACATTTCCATTAAATACGGGAGAAATTGAGGGAAAGATGGCATAATAATCACCAAGCAAGTCCAAAACTGAGCAGAACACATTACATCAGCTCTCAAGGCTTGAAAATAATCCTCTGTTCTCTGAGACCATCTGGGCAATAGCCTTGCCCTTCAGATTCTAGGTGGAGACACTTTGGCCCTGGGCTTCAGCCCTGCCTTCCAGGCCCACTAGGACTGCAACAGTGAGCACTCGGCTTTGGGTGGATCCATTCTCCTAGTCCATGTGAGTGGCAACCCCACCCTTTGTTCCCAGCAGTCCCCATTCTTCTGCCCCTAGGGCATGGCAGGCACACCCTCTCAGCTTTGGAGGGAGTCCCCATCTCTCTGGCACACATTAATGATAGTCCCACACTCCAGAACTGGGACCGAGTTGATGAAGATCTGACTCTCTGATACCCAGGAAGCTAAGGCCCCACTCTTTGAAACCAAGAAGGCCCTGCTTCCTGTGCTCCTTCCAGCAGTTCTGCGGATCTCTGAGCTACCCCAGGGTTGGTTCTTTTCTTTTCTTGGAGACAAGAGATGTAGTTCCTTTGGCCTGTTTTCCTGCCTGTAGAATTCCAAAAGGAATTTTTGTTCTTTTTCTAGCCTCTTCAGTTTAAGCTGATGGGTTTTCTGCTGTGGTACTTGGTTAAATCCGTCAATCATAGGCATAATCTCTTTAACAAAAGACTGTAGCCAGGTCCTCCTAGGGCATGTGTCTTTAGTTTGTATAACAGAATTTTTCAGATCTTTAAGTTTTGTTTTCATTTTGCCAGTTCACACTTAAGTTCATCTCCTTCCTCTCACATTTTACTATAAGCAGCAAGGAGAAACCATGTGGCCCCTTTAAGAGCTTGCTTAGAAATCTCCTCAGCCAGATATGCAAGTTCATGTTCTACCTTCCAACCAACATTTGAACACAATTCAGACAAGTTATTTGTACTGCATAAAAAGCACTTTCTTCCATTGCCCACTCACATGTTCATTATCTTGTTTTAAAGCCTCACCTGAGCACATTTAACATCCACATTTCTAGCAACATTCTGTTGCAGGTGTTATATATATTCTCTAAGGCAGCAGAGAATTTCTCCATAGCTCTCTCAATTCCTTCTGAGTCCTCACCAGAATTGCCTTTGACATCCATAATGCTACCAACAGTCTCTTCAAGGCTATCTAGGCTTTTACTATGACATATTAAAGTTCTTCCAGCCTCTAGTTATTACCCAGTTCCAAACCACTTCTACTTTGTAGGCATTTGTTAGAGTAGCACCTCACTCCTGGTACCAAATTCTTAGCTATCTAGTGCTGCCATAACAGAAATACCACAAGTGGTGGCTTTAACAAATAGTAATTTTATTTTTTCACAAGAGGCTAGAAGTCCAAATTCAGATGCCAGCTCTGGGGGAAGGCTTTCTCTCTCTGTCAACTATGGAAGAAGGTTCATGTCTCTTCTGAGTTTCTGTTCCTGGTGATCTTCATGTGGCTTGGCATCTCGCTTCCCCCAAGTCTGCTTGCTAGTTTGCATTTAATCTCTTTTATATCTCAAAAGAGATTGACTCAAAATACACCCTATAATAATCCTACTCATTAACATAACAAAGGTAACCCATTCCCAAATGGGATTATAGCCACAGGCATAGAGATTAAGATTTACAACACATATTTTTGGAGGGCACAGTTCAATGGGTAACAAGGGGGATGAGGGTCAGATCTAAAAGGTGAGGAGACTCAGCTCAGATGATGAATCTCAAGGGCAAAGCTTGACACAAGGAACAATGGTCTTGTCCTCAATGAGACTCAACTGACAAGAAGAAAAGTATACCTACACCTCACCCTTCCTGCTCACCACCTGAGAATAAATGTTAAGTCTGAGACTTCAACAAAGCCATCCTGTTCTTTAGTTCCTACAGAGCCAGAAGAATAACTCAAGAGCTCAAAGTAAGCTTTGGGAATCCAAGTTTCTATGCCTTTTTTGATACAGTTTTCCTACAAAAGGAAGGCAGTTGACAGCTCGAGTTGTGGTGGCAAAAATGCTTGCATGCAGAGTTCTCCCCTTTGAGGATGTGCCCAACTGAGAGGACAAGCAAAAACAGGTCTAACCAACCACCTAACTGATGCCAAATACAGCTAACAGGCAAAGAGATCATAGTGGACTTTAGAGGGGTCATTCTAGGCCTTTTCTCTCAGAAATATTCTGCAGGGGAAGCTCCCTCCATTAAGGAGGGGAGGACCTGTTGAAAGAGCCTAGACCACCAAGTACTCTGACACTCAATATGAGATTCAAATAATGTTCTTAGAATGGTTCCCCTGAGTGGGAAGCTTAACATAGTGATGAAAGAATGGATAGACAGACAAGGGGAAAGAGAATTTTTGGTTCAGAAATCAGGATTCAAATGGAACTTTGGAACCCAGATTGTCCCTAAGGCTAGAGAGTCCTCCTAAGTTTTAGATCCCCATCCTACAGCCTTCCCTAGCAACCCTTGCCCGTTCTGGGAACCTTCATCACAAAAGTCACATGATTCTTTCCATACATTGATACCTTGGGAGCTCTGGTGGTGTAATGCCTAAGGCATTTGACTACTAACCAGAAGGCTGGGGGTTCAAACCCACCAGCCACTCCTCAGAAGGAAGATTGGGCAATCTATTTCTGTAGTGACAGTGCCTTGGAAACCCAAGGAGGGGTCGCTGTGAGTCGGATCCAACTTGATGGCAGTGAGTTTGGTTTGATTTTTTTGATACCCTGAATGGGCCCCACAGATGCTATGCTAGACTTTATAGCTCTTCCACCCAGAGTAGTTTTGTACTTCAACTATATTTCCTACTGCTTCAAAATTCCCATTTCTTACCAGGTTCCAAGACTAAAGGCATAGAAACTAATAAGAAATGTTGAGTACATCCAAGGCCTACATCATGCTTCTGGCCAGGATATTGGCCTTTGACTTTTCTAGGTTACTCTTGACAAGCTTCTCTTCTTCTATGTTTTCCCTTTTCAAAAAAAGGTCCCTGGGTGGCACAAATGGTTTGTGCTCAACTACTAACCTAAAGTTCAGACTTGCCCAGCGGCACCACAGAAGAAAAGCTTAGCAATCTGCTTCCATAAAGACTGCAGCCAAGACATCCCCATGGAGCAGTTCTACTCTAATGCACTGAGTTGGCGGCCTGTGTGAAAATCGACTCAATGGAAATGGGTTTGCTCTGATTTTTTTAACAGGGACAAAAGACCCAAAACTATACACAAAATGCCTTGGTGTGCTAAAATAAGGAAGAGGGTTATTAATTTCTCCTGATTTTTCCCACCTTGGAGATTGGGAAATAATCTACCTTCCAGTCCTACCCATCACCTCACCACAACTCCCTCCACTCCTTTTCTACACATGCTCAGCTCTCAAAATAGGTTCTATTCTCTCCTGGAACCTGAGACCAGGATGACAGAGAAGAAATCTGTTCTAGAATGGAATGAGGCCTTCTCCCTGCTGTG